AAACTCTTGGTTAACTGGCACTTCCGGTTTTTCTGTCGATGTTATGGTTGCAGAATAAACTGCATTGAGTTGAGACTGACAGACACACATAAGAAATAACCTAAAACAGCATTTAAGCAGATTCTATAAACAAAATATCTATTCACTGGTTAACAAATACACAATAGATTGGACCAAAGGGAGTAAAACTATATTGAAAACCTGAAGAAAACTGTCAATACCCAAATTCAGAACTGGTGAAAACATGCTAGGGATGGTATTTTTGACCAACAGTTAAAATTGTCACTGGAAACACTAAGCCAGTTTGTAAGGTATTGTAACATACACACAACATTGTAGTATCTGACTAGAGTGAGTAAGTGAGTGAGTTTGGTTTTACGCCGCTTTTAGCAATATTCCAGCAATATCACGGCGGGGGACACCAGAAATGGGCTTCACGCATTGTACCCATGTTGGGATTCAAACCCGGGTCTTCGCTGTGACGAGCTAACGCTTTAACCACTAGGCTACCCGACCGTCCCATATCTGACTAGAAGAAATAATACAGGCTCATCCATTATAATTATATTATACTTACCTTTGAAGGGTCTTAATGGGGCCATTGTTGGCATACATGTGGGTTAAACATTGGGCATGTAGATCTTCCTTTTCCTTCATAGAGGCCATCCAGATTCTCATAACAGCATTCACCTCATCGTAGTCCAAGTTGCTACCTGCATGTACACAGATACCAACATAATTACAGATTCTCATAACGGCATTCACCTCATCGTAGTCCAAGTTGCTACCTGCATGTACACAGATACCAACATAATTACAGATTCTCATAGATTCCATGGTGAAGCCCTGGAAGGGGAAATCCCGGAGATAAAAAAGACAGGATTACAACTTTAAACAGATGCATCACATGCCTGTAGAGAGCAGCCTACAGATTCTCATAACAGTACAATAGATAAAGCTTACCGATTTGAGCAAGGGATCTTGCCTTCCACTTATCATCAAACTCGTTGTAGATCTGGCTCACTTTCTTCTCCAGTTTGGCATAGTCTGTCAGAAGGTTATGGAGAGTATCCATAGAACTGTAAATATATCATATTATTAATTAGAAATAACTGACATATCAGTTTACAGTTACATTTAGAAGTTGGTACCACTAACAGAGTAATTTTATTTCAATTAATGCTCATTTGAATATCCTAATTCATCTGTTAACGTTTTGAGTAACGTAGTGTGTTGACGTAACTATTGTTTCAGCAGTACTTGCGTAAGTATCATCGGTCTATGTATAACCACTCGATCCAGCCCGGCGACCCAATGTATATATGTTAATTGTTATCTAAAAACAGTTACTTCTTGTATGTTTTTGTACTAGTTGTAATGTTGTATTCATATTCCCTCAAACAACTATTGTGTTTGCTTATTCTTTAAAGTCACATCAGCGGTAGAAACTAACATTTTTAGTCCACTAGTCCTTATAATGATAACATATACATGTAGCAAGACTCCTAAAAATGGCTAATTTCTAGTAGTCCTTATGATACCTTAACTATTGGGCACTTTGGCAAGGACTACAGGACTAAAGTACTCATGGAAATGAAAAAAAACAACTGTTTTGCTGGATTTAATAATCGACACAAAGCATTACGTAGATGTAAATATGAAATAACAAAACAACTGGAAAAGTACTAGTCTGGATTTGCTAGTTTTATCTAGGTGCTCAATACAAAATGTAATTGCAGGAGGTAATTTGTAGGCACTTTCAACATTCAAAAATAAAACTAAGTCCAAATTGACATGGCAGAAACAGGCTATAGGCATTATGCAAATTAGCCTGGAAAAAAATTATCAAAACAACAATAAAAATTACAGCTATGTTTATGTACGTAATAATAATGACATGTAAGTTGTTGTTTGAGAAGGGAATACGTTACTTTTGATATTTTGACGATGATTCACTATCCCACAATGCCACTCACAAATCACTAACCACTGACAAATCACATGCACGTGGGTTTCAAGCACCTGTTTTCACCTGTCGTAGGTGTCATAGGTCATGGGTATTCACCTTGATCTACTAACACCTGGTTATGCTCAGTTTCACAATAGTCTGTTTTGTTCATATTTTTACACACTTTTACGTGTAAAAAGACATAAAAACCTTTGATACGCTGTATTTGTGCCAAGGCCCAATTAGTACTAATTCAGTATAGTGCTATGTTGATAGACAATGTCCGAGGTCTGCAAATAGTAATTACCCTTGCATAGGTTGTTAAAGTCCAAAAGAACATTTGGTAATATACAGAGGAACTCAGGGTGCAACATGGCCACTAGTCCGAAAATCTAGCAGGACTAGTTCAGTCACAGACACTGTGAGGCGGAGTAGGAGGTTACAAGTCCCTGCAGGCGGGTTGCATTCCTATCTCGATTTTTTTCCCACTTTGATATTATAGCAGGTCAATTTTCAGGAGTGCCTGAAAGTTTAATTCATCTAAACTCGAATTCTTACCTTTGTCCACGTGTAAATCTTTGAAGCGATGCTTCTGTCGACGCTTGGCAGGATTTAGGCAGTTCCATATCTCGATCGGCCTGAGCCATGTTTGATTTTTGCGCGCTTTGCGACTCCTAATCCTTTCCTTTCAGACTCCTCCGGGATAATAGCCGTCGCTAGGGCGCGTCACTGAAGACGGGCATTTTGATTGGCTGAAACCCTGCTCCTCGCATCGATATGGTAACACGCGCTGGCATTGAGCTTGGGAAAAAGAACACACTCATCACACATGGACCCCCTCCCTGTCGTAGCCGACACTTAAAAACTTCCATTTTAAAGGCCGGCATCCAAACTTGAAAAAAGCCCAAGGGTTGACAATTAGCATCTGATTGACTACATCACTGCTGGGAAGATCTTATCTGCCTGTGACAGACAGGGCTGTAACGGCTATCGGAGCCAGGCACGATCAAAGGTGAAGCGTGGCATTTACTACGAAAATATATACATGCGGTTCATATCTAAATTTGGAAATGTGAACTTGAGACTAATATCTCATTTTGCTAAAGCATACAGCATTAATATTTTCATGAACATGATAAGGTTTACACAGATCATTTTTTTATTATAAATAATTACAACACATTATATAGGGACCATGCATATCCTTGCGTAACATAAGACTTAGCTCGATCACATGAGCAATCCCGCGCCCTAAATGAAATAAAATATAAAATGCCACATCTATATAATACCTCAGACCATATGTATATTTTAATTGTTTGTTCGTTTGTTTGTTGTTTAACGCCGCACTCGGCAATATTCCAGCTATATGACGGCGGTCTGTAAATAATCGAGTCTGGACCAGACAATCATGAGCATCGATCCACGCAATTGCGATATGGGATATATTACTTGCATCAAGCAAGTCTCAAACGATTATATTATATAATGAACACAATAAACTGACAAATTATCTTTAAATTCTATTGCAGCTATTATTCAGGAGTAGAGTGTTACATATGTTTCAAGTTCTTAAAATGTCTTTCATATATCTTCAAGTAGGCCTACACCAATTAGTGGTATAGTTCATGATTTTCATCAGTGATATCAGTGTTCATCATGCACACAACAATTTACAGTATGTCTTTGTTCATGTTCCTCAATGAATGTCTTGGACATCTCGTTATCTGTGTCGCCATCTCATAGATCGGACAACTCATCTTCATCAGAGGAGAAAGTATAAAGCTTCCTGGATATTGAGGTTCGGCATTTGGTCTCCACCATACCAGATGACTAAATATGATCCATCCACCAATTTCCAACCACGTTCTTCCGGAGATCGTTATGCAGGTTTTGCAATATGAGCGTTCACTTCAGATTTTGTAGCAGCACACTCTTCGGAGGGGGAAAGGCACATGGATCACAGCCTTTAACGTTATTAGATCGAAGTGCATATTTGTCCTTGAAGATACAATATGTCTCCTTTACATCCTGCAAACAAAGTGCTCGATAATGTTGACAACCCCCTCTGTGATTTCGTCTTGGCTTCCTAAAACTCACTGTTAAACCGTTGTATACAGAATACATTTGAGATTTTGATTACCCACAATCACATGGGCGCTAAAACAAATTGCTGAGTTATGCCTTTAATGCCATACTTTCAGGAAAATGGTCAAGATACAATTTGTAAGAAATTGTTTTTTCGGAAATATAATCAAGATGGGACAGTAGATGCACATGACTCAAGGCTCCCATTTTGGGGTGAAAATGCGACACAGTTTCTAACTGTGATGAAGATGAAGCAAATGGACTTGCCAAAACATTTGCCAAAATCGAAATTTAAACAAATGGAAAAAAATAGATTCAAATTCTGACTTGCAAATTTTGTGTTCTCCTCTACAAGAAAAGGTGAACATGTCTAGCAATATTAATTGAGATTTTAGTCCTGATTTACACGGAAGCCGACGCATGATAGTATGGAGTAGAACTTTGACATAAAGGAAAAATAAGTCGCTTTGGACAAGTTATTTTCGGGGGCACTTCATGGGGTCAAAAGACTAAGTTTAGATGTAAATTGTACTTCTATGTTAGAAGCCCACTGACCCTGTGTTGTAGGCTTTTGACCGTGTGTTGTAGCCTACTGACCCTGTGGTGTAGCCTATTGACCCTGTGTTGTAGGCTTTTGATCGTGTGTTGTAGCCTACTGACCGTGTGGTGTAGCCTACCGACCCTGTTGTGTAGCCTATTGACCCTGTGTTGTAGGCTTTTGACCGTGTGTTGTAGCCTACTGACCCTGTGGTGTAGCCCACTCACCCTGTGGTGTAGCCTACTGACCCTGTGTTGAAGGCTATTAACCCTTTGTTGTAGCCTATTGACCATGTGGTGTAGCCTACTGACCCTGTGTTGTAGGCTATTGACCGTGTGTTGTCGGCTATTGACCCTGTGGTGTAGCCTACTGACACTGTGGTGTATAGCCTACTGACCCTGTGTTGTAGGCTATTGACCCTGTGTTTTAGGCTATTGACCGTGTGTTGTCGGCTATTGACCCTGTGGTGTAGCCTACTGACACTGTGGTGTAGCCTACTGACCCTTTGTTGTAGCCTATTGACCCTGTGTTGTAGGCTTTTGACCGTGTGGTGTAGCCTACTGACCCTGTGGTGTATCCTATTGGCCCTGTGTTGTAGGCTATTGACCCTGAGGTGTAGCCCACTGAACCTGTGTTGTAGGCTTTTGACCGTGTGGTGTAGCCTATTGACCCTGTGGTGTAGCCTACTGACCCTGTGGTGTAGCCTATTGACCCTGTGTTGTAGCCTATTGACCGTGTGGTGTAGCCTACCGACCCTGTGGTGTAGCCTTTTGGCCCTGTGTTGTAGGCTATTGGCCCTGTGTTGTAGGCTATTGACCCCGAGGTGTAGCCCACTGAACCTGTGGTGTAGGCTATTGACCGTGTGTTGTAGGTTATTGACCGTGTGGTGTAGCCTATTGACCCTGTGGTGTAGCCTACTGACCCTGTGGTGTAGCCTATTGACCCTGTGTTGTAGGCTTTTGACCGTGTGTTGTAGCCTACTGACACTGTGGTGTAGCCTACTGACCCTGTTGTGTAGCCAATTGACCCTATGTTGTAGGCTTTTGACCGTGTGTTGTAGCCTACTGACACTGTGGTGTAGCCTATTGACCCTGTGTTGTAGCCTACTAACCCTGTGTTGTAGCCTATTGACCGTGTGGTGTAGCCTACTGACCCTGTGGTGTAGCCTATAGGCCCTGTGTTGTAGGCTGTTGACCCTGTGTTGTAGCCTATTGACCCTGTGTTGTAGCCTATTGACCGTGTGGTGTAGCCTACTGACCCTGTGGTGTAGCCTATAGGCCCTGTGTTTTAGGCTATTGACCCTTAGGTGTAGCCCACTGAACCTGTGATGTAGCCTATTGACCCTGTGTTGTAGCCTATTGACCGTGTGTTGTAGCCCACTGACCCTGTGGTGTAGCCTATTGACCCTGTGTTGTAGGCTATTGACCCTGAGGTGTAGCCCACTGAACCTGTGTTATAGGCTACTGACCCTGTGGTGTAGCCAATTGACCCTGTGTTTTAGGCTATTGACCCTGTGTTGTCGGCTATTGACCCTGTGTTGTAGCCTATTGACCCTGTTTTGTAGGCTATTGACCGTGTGGTGTAGCCTACTGACCCTGTGGTGTATCCTATTGGCCCTGTGTTGTAGCCTACTGACCCTGTGGTGTAGCCTATAGGCCCTGTGTTGTAGCCTACTGACCCTGTGGTGTAGCCTATAGGCCCTGTGTTGTAGGCTATTGACCCTGTGTTGTAGCCTATTGACCATGTGTTGTAGGCTTTTGACCGTGTGTTGTAGCCTACTGACCCTGTGGTGTAGCCTATTGACCCTGTGTTGTAGGCTTTTGGTGTAGCCAATTGACCCTATGTTGTAGGCTTTTGACCGTGTGTTGTAGCCTATAGACCCTGTGGTGTAGCCTATTGACCCTGTGTTGTAGGCTTTTGGTGTAGCCAATTGACCCTGTGTTGTAGGCTTTTGGTGTAGCCAATTGACCCTATGTTGTAGGCTTTTGACCGTGTGTTGTAGCCTACTGACAATGTGGTGTAGCCTATTGACCCCATGTTGTAGGCTTTTGACCGTGTGTTGTAGCCTACTGACCCTGTGGTGTAGCCTATTGACCCTGTGTTGTAGCCTACTAACCCTGTGTTGTAGCCTATTGACCCTGTGTTGTAGCCTATTGACCGTGTGGTGTAGCCTATTGACCCTGTGGTGTAGCCTATTGACCCTGTGGTGTAGCCTTTTGGCCCTGTGTTGTAGGCTATTGGCCCTGTGTTGTAGGCTATTGACCCCGAGGTGTAGCCCACTGAACCTGTGGTGTAGGCTATTGACCGTGTGTTGTAGGTTATTGACCGTGTGGCGTAGCCTACTGACACTGTGTTGTAGCCAATTGACCCTGTGTTGTTAGGCTATTGACCCTGTGTTGTAGCCTACTGACCCTGTGGTGTAGCCAATTGACCCTGTGTTTTAGGCTATTGACCGTGTGTTGTAGGCTATTGACTGTGTGGTGTAGGCTATTGACCGTGTGTTATAGGCTATTGACCGTATGTTGTAGCCTACTGACACTGTGTTGTAGCCAATTGACCCTGTGTTGTAGGCTATTGACCCTGTGTTATAAGCTATTGACCGTGTGTTGTAGCCATTTGACTCTGTGTTGTAGGCTATTGACTGTGTGGTGTAGGCTATGGGCCCTGTGTTGTAGCCTCTTGACCTTGTGTTGTAGGCTGTTGGATGTTGTGTAGGCTATTGACCCTGTGTTGTAGGCTATTGACCCTGTGTTGTAGCCTCTTGATCTCTTGTCTTTGAACGACAGACAAACCAATGCTGGATCATATCACTTACTCTCTGAAATATAAAGCGTCAAAACTTATAAACGCACTGTGCTATCAAAATTTAGTGTTTGTCATTACTTAATCACTGATTATGAGCTCAGCATATCTTAAACATTCTGTGGTCAGTTTCATGTATCAAAAGGTTGCGGAGTTACATGGATATGTTAAAATATATGTTTCTTCCGAAAACAATATGAAGTTGTGAATAGGGTGTAGAACATTCATATGTGTAGTTTGAAGTTTGAATTTGCCAATGTCGCTGTAAGGACAAGCCAAGTGTTGACCAGCCCGTGCTGTGTCAGCTATTCTCTTGTCCACTGCATACCTAACTGGCATATGTCAACAATGACACGCGTAAAGGCTGGTAAACCCCCCAGTTAGTCCCCTATCCAATCTCTTATCTGATATAGTCACGCACAGAAGTGTCCAAGATGGCGGAGAGGGTCGTGAAGGACAAGAGCGGCAACATTATGACAGTGCTGGATCCAAGGACATTCTCTGCGAAGACCCTGTCGAGCATCCAGCATGCTGCCCTCAGAGATGACGATATACTATTGTACGGGTATCCTAGATCAGGTTAGTGACGGAAGAGATGAACACGCTGTTGGGAGGGTAGCTGCTACACCACTGCTCGTTTGTATTCTACGTAAGTCTGTCAGTAAAGACTTTTGACCCTGTGTTGTAACCTTTTGACCCTGGGTTGTAGCCTCTTGACCCTGTGTTGTAACCTTTTGACACTGTGGTTCCGTGTTGTAGCCTCTTGGCCCTGTGTTGCAGCCTTTTGACTCTGTTGTAGCCTCATGACCCCGTGGTTCCGTGTTGTAGCCTCTTGGCCCTGTGTTGCAGCCTTTTGACTCTGTTGTAGCCTCATGACCCCGTGGTGCCGTGTTGTAGCCTCTTGACCCTGTGTTGTTGCCTTTTGAATGTGTTGTAGCCTCTTGACCACGTGGTGCCGTGTTGTAGCCTCTTGACCCTGTGTTGTTGCCTTTTGACTGTGTTGTAGCCTCTTGACCCCGTGGTGCCGTGTTGTAGCCTCTTGACCCTGTGTTGTTGCCTTTTGACTGTGTTGTAGCCTCTTGACCACGTGGTGCCGTGTTGTAGCCTCTTGACCCTGTGTTGTTGCCTTTTGACTGTGTTGTAGCCTCTTGACCCTGTGTTGTTGCCTTTTGACTGTGTTGTAGCCTCTTGACCCTGTGGTGCCGTGTTGTAGCCTCTTGTCCCCGTGGTGCCGTGTTGTAGCCTCTTGACCCTGTGTTGTAAACTTTTGACCCTGTGTTGTAGCCTCTTGTCCCTCTGTTGTAGCCTCTTGACCCTGTGGTGCCGTGTTGTAGCCTCTTGTCCCTCTGTTGTAGCCTCTTGAGCCCGTGTTGTAGCCTTTTGTCCTCTGTTGTAGGCTATTGACCTTGTGTTGTAGCCTCTTGACCCTGTTTTGTAGCCTGGTTGTACAGTTATACGTTTGTCTTTGTCGGTAGTGGAGGCGAAACATGTCTGTCTGGTATTCTTGTTGTGATGTTCCCATAATTTATTTATTTGTGGAATGGAACGACAGACAAGCCAATGCTGGATCATATGACTTACTCTCTGAAATATAAAGCGTCAAAACTTATAAACGCACTGTGCTATCAAAATTTAGTGTTTGCCATTACTTAATCACTGATTATGAGCTCAGCTTATCTTAAACATTCTGTGGTCAGTTTCATGTATCAAAAGGTTTGCGGAGTTACATGGATATGCTAAAATATTTGGAAAATGTCTTCCGAAAACAATATGACGTTGTGAATAGGGTGTAGAATATTCATATGTGTATCTGTAGTTTGTATTTGCTGTAAGGATAAGCCAAGTGTTGACCAGCCCGTGTTTTGTCAGCTATGCTCTTAAACGCAGATTTCTGGTGTCTCACACCGTGATATTGCTGGAATATTGGTAAAAGCTGCGTGAAACCATACTCGCTCGCTCGCATTAATCTCTGGTTGCCACATATGAAAGTCACGTGAGATAGCACAAGTAACCTTAGCTTAATCGAACAGCTGTTTCCTATCAATTTTGAATTTTTGTTAATTTCTTTTACAATGTCCTATTAAAACATGTCGGTAAGAAAAATTCGTTGTCGTTTATTACATATACGTTTTGCATTGAGAGTGGGTGAGTGAGTGTGGTTTTACGCCGTTTTTAGCAATATTCCAGCAATATCACGGCAGAGGACACCAGAAATGGGCTTCACACATTGTACCCATGTGGGGAATCGAACCCGGGTCTTCGGCGTGACGAGCGAACACTTTAAACACTAGGCTTCCCGACCGCCCCTTTTGTATTGAGAAAAGAAGTTCACAAAACCTATTTAACGTCCACATCCGACAACAGGTCACCACTGGTTGTTTGAGATAGTCAACATGTTGGTGACAAGCACCGCTGACTACGTGCCCTTCACCTTGGAGAGCGGTGTCCTTGAACTACAACCCGACACATCCCTCCGGCGTCTCTCCTCTCCAAGAATACTCACAACCCACGTCCAAGCCCATCTCTTGCCCCGAGAACTACAACAGCGGAACGTAAGGACTGTGCACATTATCCGTGACCCCAAGGACGTGGCGGTGTCCTGGTTCCACTTCTACCACGCCTACCCTGAAGACAAGTATGAAGGCTCGTGGGACGACTGGCTGCATCTGTTTATAAGTGACAAATGTATGTAATTGGTGATTACAGTAAACTACGGTTAAAACGAACTCAAAGGGACTAGTAATTTTAGTTCGTTATAACCGAAGTTCGTTGTAAGTACATATACAGCATGACTACAGCAAGTAGTCGGGTCCAAAAAGTAAGTTCGTTATATCCGTCAGTTCGTAATAAGCGTGTTCGTTTTAACCGTAGTTTACTGTATATCAAGAAATACAAATTAGTTAAAGTTATCCCTCGAAACATTCCTTTGGGGGTAAAAGGCAAAATAGAAGTGAAAATTATACCAAAGGTCACTGAAAATATGTGATGACACCAGGTGTTCGCGAAAAAGGTAAAACCATTCTGTTGTTCAGACAAGCATCCATGTACTTGACGTATCCGGAACATTAAGCACGACCACAGCCTCTTAGAACAAGGATGGGGAGGGTGTACTTAACATGCAAAGATGCTAGCAACATACAGTGAGTGAGTATGGTTTTACGCCGCTTTTAGCAATATTGCAACAATATCACGGCGGGGACACCAGAAATGGGCTTCACACAATGTACCAATGTCGGGAATCGAACCCGGGTCTTCGGCGAGACGAGCGAACGCTTTATCCGCTAGGCTACCCGACCGCCCCTAGCAACATACATGTATTTAGGGGAAGAATTATTATTTCATCAAATGATTATATTTTTATATTCGTCTCCATGAACATACAAAAATGTTTTTCGTTGCAGTTATGTGGGGTACATGGTTTGATCACATTCGGTCATTTGAAAAAATGTGTGAATCACTGGACCCGAGTCTTCTCCACATTATATTTTATGAAGACCTAAAAAAGGTAAGTTTGACTGCGGCAATATTTGTGCCTAAACATTCCTGGAAATTTCTGTAGTGAAGTTGGTAATGCTTTGTTTGTTTGTTGTTGAACGCAGCACTCAGTAATATTCCACGAATCTGGACCAGACAATCCAGTGATTGAAATCAGGAGCATCGATCCACGCAACTGAGACATGATGACATGCATGGGCGGATACAGCTTTTTTTTTTAAAAGGGGGGGGGGGGGTGCACAAGTAAAATCTATTTATTGTCTTTGGTGGTAATTTATAAATAAAGATTATTTTCGAAATAAAGGGTTGGGGGGGGGGGGGGGGGGGGGGGTGGGGGGGTGCGCCTGACATTTCAGTATATTATATATTTTCAACTATTTTAATGCAACGTGTTACGTGTCGAGGTCTTGAACGTTCTATACGGTGCTGGGCTTGTCTAGCTGTTCTAGACGATTCCGGATAACGTGGCTCCAAAAGCATCTAAATACAGTAACTTCCACATCACTACTTACGTGTTCTGTTCGTTTGACAGTACTACATTCCTGACAACTAATCATTGTTAAAACACATCATTATGAACTTCTACTGAATCTTAAAAGAAACAATGTAATACAATTACAACATTGTTTAACATTAAATTACACTGCCATATTACGAAAAGTAAACAATCTGTTACTAAGGGTAAAATGGATGTGCTGCAATATGATTGGTTGAAAAACGTTGTCAGACGAGATTGTAATTCAAGTGAAAGGGAATGTGTGTTGCTATATGATTCGAAATTTAACTCCGTTGGTTCCAAATTATCGAATACTCAATAACACCAGAAAATCTGAAAACACCAAATGTTTATCTCCGAATTGGATCCATGAAAGATTTCGGCGGACTTTTCATGGCGTTTGCATACTTTTCTTTATAAGTATGTATTTTTTCTCAGTTCCAAGTTTGACAAATTCGCATGGACGAATAGCTAAGTAAACAGAAATAGCTACGGTAAATAACGTTTGTATTTTGTGAAAGGGTTCTCTTATTTTCAAATATTTCCTTGTGTAAATTTAAGACATTGTTTTTGAAGAATACACAAGAAGAAGTACAAAAACTGGCACGGTTCCTGGAGACTGATGTATCAAACGATGTCATGGAGGAAATTGTTCTGAAATCGGCGTTCAGTGAAATGAAGAGCGAGAAGGATAAAATAACGGAGAAATGGAATGGGAAGCCGGCCCAGTATAGAAAAGGTTTGCATTCATTTGTTTCGGGATTCTAGCTTTCTTATTAAGTCGGGTTAAGGGGGGTCGGGTTGCCCAGTCGTCTATGACGCCGCAATTCGCTGTGCACGCCGCAACATCAGGGCGAACCGGGTTTCTGGCACGTCTAAGGGACGCAACTCTGCACAGCGAGAAGCAGCGTCTTAGACGACTTGACATCCCGTGCCCCACTGAGTATATAAATCACATGCCAAGAATAGAACAAAGTAACAAAACATTCAGTGAGTGAGTGTGGTTTAACGCCACTTTTAGCAATATTCCTGCAATTTCACGACGGGGGACACCAGAAATAAACTTCACATATTGTACCCATGTCGGGAATCGAACCCGTGTCTTCGACGTTACGAGCGAAGGCTTTGACCACCTGTGTGTGTGTGTGTGTGTGTGTGTGTGTGTGTGTGTGTGTGTGTGTGTGGCTGCTTGTATAAGTGCCGATTTTATAGTGCTTGGTAAAAGGACAGTGAATAACGTTGAATCATGTAAATACTTATCATACATATTATACAATAACAAATCAATGTATATGTACAATACAGTCTTTAATTAAACTGCCAAAGCGTTAAGGTTCAGATGCTACTTAGGGAGCTTAAGTAGCCTACTGGTTAAAGCGTTCACACGTCACGCCGGCCGGAGTTCGATTCCCTACCTGGGCATATGTGAAGCCGATTTATGTCCGCCGCCGTGATATTGCTGTAACATGGCTACGAGCTTCGTAAAACTATACTCACTCACTCATTCACTCAGATGCTATTTATATTGACATTTCGTCATGCAAACAACTTCTACCTGCCAATCAAACAAGTGTTTTTGATGTCTTCAGGTATTGTCGGGGATTGGCTGAACATGTTCACACCGTACCAGAAGGAGATATTTCACGACATATACCGGGAGAGGATGCATGGGTCTAGATTCCAGACGCGTTATGACAATCCTTGACTGTTTCATGATTGAATATATTTTATCAGACCATATTGTTAGCGTTGCATGCAATACAGATGGTTTAGTTTCATTTAAATACTATCCCCATGAAGATCCGAGTTAGAAATTGGTATTCACGTCTTAATGACTAACGAGATCGGGTGGTCAGGCTCGCTGCCTTGGGTGATGCATGTCATTGTATCCCTCCCACTTGCGTACATTGATGCTCATGATGTCAATCACCGGATTGTCTAGTCCAGACTCGATTATTCACATAGCGCCGACATATAGCTGGAATATTGCTGAGTGCGGCGTTAAACAACAAACAAAGAAACAAATAAAAACTAGCTCTATGAAGATCCGAGTTAGATTTGGTTTTCAGGAACCCATGCTTGTCTTAAGGACTAACGGGATCAATATCCCACTTGCGTAAATCGATGCTCATGATGTCAATCACTGGATTGTCTCGTCCAGACTCGATATTCACATACCGCCGTCATATAGCTGGAATATTGCTGAGTGCGGTGTTAAACAACAAATAAACAAACTACTACTACTACTACTACTACTACTACTACTAGTAGTAGTAGTAAAGCATCACAGACTAACGTCAAATTTCATTTAACCTGTTTATTTACCCCGGCGTTAAGCCTATACACGTCTTCCGGTGTGTTCTTCATTGGCAGGGGCGGTCGGGTAGCCTAGTGGTTAAAGCGTTCGCTCGTTACGCCGAAGACCCGGGTTCGATTCCCGACATGGGTATAATGTGTGAAGCCCATTTCCGGCGTCCCTCGTAAAACCATACTCACTCACTCTTCATTGGCAGCGACATGAACAACACACATTAAGGATACGTGGCTGCGCCATTCATGAAAATATCAACGTTGTTAGGTCACTCAGTGCTATAGGATGGTAGCTCAGGGTGATGACGGATGACAAAACTCAGGGGTGAAGTTTAAGACGACAGCAGCCATGTTTATTGTTGATGGTTTGGAATAAGTCGAAAAGGTACATGTTGATAATAACGTGACAGAACGCACACCGGGACCGAGTGGCAAATGTTCCCGTGTGGAGACTCGCACTGTCACTTACCTTCTGGCTGTCTCCCTGACTGACCATGTCAGTCGGGTTTTGTAGAGCGAGGTATTACGTAACGTGTGGCAAGGTCATTGTCCCACGTGTATGGATATACGTAAGATCCGGCGACGTAAGGAGGTGTTAATTGAAATGGCGCTGGAGAGTAAGGGTCCTGCCCGGAGGGGCTTATGATAAGAGGGGATACGCCGTATGTTTGCTGAATATATTAAACAGACAAAGGGCATAGAATTTCGGTGCACTTGGAAACATATTGAACCAGTTAGGTATTTAGATAAATGAAATGTTAAATAAAAGTATTGAAATGGTTTGCACTATAACAATACGATCTGTCCCTTATAAGTCTTTGAGGGGCAGTAGAAGAGGGAAGAACATGCCCCCTGCACTGAGCCCAACCCTTGCTAGGCTAAGGGTGAGACCTCCCTATCTTTCGTCTAACTTAGGTTGGAGATATCACGTACGCTTTCCGACTGCAAGGGCATGTCGCACACGGCTTTCGTCTCTGGACCAAGGCTTATATATATAAGGTCAAGACGTAAACGAGACAGCTGCACTTCTGGTTCATGGTGTCTGATAGTCTATGTATAATACAGTGGGGATGGACAATTAGGAGCAGCAGCTTACAAATAATTGCAATCAAGTGATGCCGGACATGTCATGGCTACAGGGTAATTAGCCTTCGGAATTAAATGTTCATTCAGAGAAAGGTTGTCTCAAATATGTCGACATGACAACTATTAAAGGTTGAATTATTGTGTGAGAATTGCTTTAACGTATACTGTGTTAACAAACGGAGAGGCAGAGCAGATTTTGATATTTTGGACCCTCCCTTTTAAAAATGCTAGATCCGCCCTTGCCAAAATCCCTCTGCCCTGTTCTTACATTCTCAGTCAAGACCGACGAGGAGGTTTTCATCCTTTAGATATTGCCGATAATCTGAGCGCTCATTCGTCAGAACTAGGGTGTGTCTTGATTGGTTGGTAAAATATAGTGACGTCACAATAAATAATGCATTGGCGGTTATGGAGGGTACTCGTTAAAACAAACCCATGAAGTATTAACGATGGATTAAACAGGATTGTTCCCATTACGTCGATATCTGGATAGAGTTACCCCTTTGTGGACCTATCTTCGGTAGGCACCCAATTGGTTCTTGCAGTTTGGACACTGGTGGATGACGTCTTTGGTGCTGTCCACACAGAAAGGAATCAGGCAACATCCAGCCCAGCATCTGAAATAGTGGGATACAAGGTGTTTATGTTGTCAAGCCTTGATTTATTCAAGTCTATTTATGGCCAACATTTTGTAAATATAAACTACACCTATGTTCACATAACTAAAGTAATGTTTGTTTGTTGTTTAACGCCGCACTCAGCAATAATCCAGCAATATGACGGCGGTCAAGACTGGGTCAGACATTGCCGTGACTGACATCATGAGCATCGCTTGGGATACGATGACATGCATCAACCAAGTCAGCGAGCCTGACCCCCTGATCCCGTTTGTCGACTTTTACGACAAACATCCATGGCTGTCGTAAAAAGATTAAAGGCAATAAAAAAACCGTCATACCATTTTGTCATGTGTTACATGTGATACATCAATGAAATGTAAAATTTACTCTTGTACAACTGTGGGCTGTTCTCATTTTACCTTCTAACATATGTTTCTGTGTTCTACCATATGTTTTTTCAGGTGAACAATTGATTTGCCTCTGCTTGTGTTTGTGAAGGGTGACCGGGGGGGGCAGGACCTCACCTTATCGCGAACACCTGGTGTCATCACATTTAATAATGATTAAAAAAGTATACTGATGAATTAGTCGGAACCGTACGATGGACTTTGGTAATAGCAGAGATTTCCTGTGATTATGGGGGGCACGGGTGGCCCAGTCGTCTGAGGCGCCGCGATTCGCTGTGCAGAGCTGCGTCCCTTGGGCACGCCAGAAACCTATGATTGTGGGTTCGAATCCCGGTTCGCCACGATTATGTTTCTAGGTTTGTCAGCACCATACCCGTGCTTGTGGGTTTCACCGAAGTGGTAAACGTCTTAGACCTGCATCACTTCGGGCTTTCCCCCCACATTAAGCCGACACGCCGCGATATGACTGGAATACTGTTAAAAGTGGCGTTAAAACCAACTCACTCACGTGATTATGGAAAGGGTTTTGTCGTTTTTAGTAAAATAAAGCGAGAATATTGCATGTATATCCGTAAGTGTAATTTAATTGGAAATATATGAATTACTTTGTGGTGGATATACTTCCGGTTTCATGCATCTTGTAACAATGTCAGGTATACAGTCTAAATAATACTGTCTTCATTGTTCACCGATTCGAGAATGGCCAGAGAATAATCAGTCCCTACGAAACAGATTCCATTGGTCGTGAAATGCCAAATAGTGATGAAAATATGTGAATGGATCACTGAAAATCAGTGATGACACCAGATATTAATGCATAAAAAGAGGGTTTGGGTGATCCTGGCACAGTCAGGCTAGTTAGGCTCATCATCAGCTCAGAGCCCTTGTCCCCTCTACACGCAGTCCAGACAGCGAATGAGACTTCTCCCAGGAAGCGCTGCCTAGTCAAACCAACACAGAACCTTTCGGATAATGTTAAGACTCCCCAACACTGCAGCCTTCTGCAATACCCAGATTGTCAGAAGGACTGTATTCCTGGTAGCAAACCCAGGTACTCTTCCAATGTCAGTCAACAGATTGGGAGGTACCAAACCTAAGGCACCGAGAACAATGGGGAGTCGGACAACTTGGTACTTGGGATGCAAGCGTGACATTTCGAAAGCGAGGTCCGCATATTTACCATATTATTCCCCAATTTTGTCAACGACATAGTGTCAAAAGAGACAGAAAATTCAATGATATAAATGATTTCATTTTTTCAAAAAAAGACAAGATCAGGTTTATTGGCCTGGATACGTCTGAGGCAAAGGATTTTGTATTTATCATTTTCCATGACGCCCTCCACATATTCCGGTCGTACCATGGATTGACCTCTGTGTCAAAAACAAAGGCATGGCGAAGACGGTAATAAAATGATCGAGCCACTCCATCATGTCGCTTAAGATACTGTATCTGTGCCAAAGCTGGGCTCGCCGACTTGGTTGATACATGTCATCGATCCCAATTGCGTGGATCGATGTTCATGATATTAATCACTGGATTGTCTGGTCCAGACTCGATTATTTACAGACCGCCGTCATGTAGCTGGAATATTGCTGAGTGCGGCGTTAAACAACAAACCAACCAACCAACCATTAAATTAATTACATAATCTGCATTTCATATTCACATTGTGATGGAAAATCACAAAAATTGACGGTTTCCAATAGGAAGTGACTGGTCCTGAGCAGCAAACAGAAATCCTTCTGTTTTTTTTTCAGGCCAGCCGACTTCATCCAAGCGAAGGACTCTGCAGGGTTGCTGATCTTCTCAACACACTGCACATAAACTCGATGCAGTGGTCGAGTCTGGGCCGATTTGATATGGCACTTCGCTTGGTTCACACTCATTATGATTATTATGATTATTTTTATTATTATTATTATTATTAAGCAACCTTACCCGAGAAGGCAAATGATGCATGCTGCTGCCCAGGTGCAGGTGCCGACTTGGTGGGTCGTGGAGGTGACAACTTGTGCATGACAATAGGGACATTGCACTCGCGCCGCATTCGGGCCCATGTGACCTGAATACATCATCGTGGACGGCTGGGTAACCACCACGGCTGTAGAACAGTAGGAATGTCGTTTAGCAACAAGGAATTAATAACAGAACTTATTGTGTTCTAAATGAATTAAAACCATGGTTCCTTTGTCTTTAATCGTGTATCAACTAGCAAAGCATCTTCCAACAGCTCCTCACAGCGATAGCCTGTTGGAGGAGCTCTTTACTATCGCTGCCCATTCTTGCTGGTAACGTAAAGGGGCGAGTGGTGATGAATGATCGGTGCCACCAGTCAAAGCTCCCTACTGTGATGTGTGGCCACAACCATGTTTGGAGTTGAACTCGCGACCGATTGACCTAACGGTCACTTTGAAACGTGGTGTGTGGGGTGGGGTGTGTGTGTGTGTGTGTGTGTGTGTGTGTGTGTGTGTGTGTGTGTGTGTGTGTGTGTGTGTGCACAATTAAGATCTATTTATTGTCTTTGGTGGTAATTTGCGCGCACCCCCCCCCCCCCCCCCCCTCTGTATCCGCCCATGCCCAGGTATTTATCTTTCTTTGTTCGTCAGTTAAAATTGCTATTTCGTTTCAACTATCATGTAATTGGTATAGAAAGAATTGAGGGGAAGTTGGCTGATTTCCCGTTTGTCTGCAATCTCGACCTGATATGATTAAACAAACAAAAAGGTAAATTCTTCTGGGTAATCTGGTCAGTCGTAAACCTACTCAAAATTCGCTATGATTTTCAAAGGACATAAACAAAACTACAATCGTGTCTACATTTGGGGTTAGAGGGCAAATTTCAAGATTCTTGTAATGGCCGCTCACACACTGACGGCAGCGATGTTACCGAATGTGTAACGAAGGTATCACGCGCTGGGAAGGAGATTGTATCATCTTCATTCGTGACCAACTCGTGATTTTCCGGGACAAGCCGAATTGCCATTCGTGACCAACTCGTGTTATTCCGGGACAAGCCGAATTGCGTCTCGTGCCCCTCTCATGGCCATTTTTGCGACCGGGTTCCGTCTTAGCGAAAACGGGCATACCTAAAACAATTGTCAACTCGTTGCGTAATGGTTCACTTATATATCGACATATATTATATATATTTCAGATGCAATTAAAGCACATCGGGACGTGCGGAATTATACAGTATGCTTTAACACATTTAACTGTGTCTTGGGTATATTTTTAGATGCCAGACATATGTAAAATCAAAAAATATTTCTGAGTGATTCTTTCACGAAGAACTTGAAATCATACGCGCATTCTGATTGGTTTGTCGTATTTTCGCACATAACCGTCATCGATTGGGGGACGAGTCTTCCTGCAGTTTACGGAAAGAGGCGAGTGGTGACGTATGGTATCCTCCCGAGGCAAGGGAATTAACTTACTGTAAAAGTAGTTAATATAGTGTGTTGGTTGGTTTGTTGTTTTACGCCGCACTCAGCAATATTCCAGCTATATGAAGGCGGTCTGTAAATAATCGAGTCTGGACCAGACAATCCAGTGATTGATATCATGAGCATCGACCCACGCCATTGGGATCGATGACATGCATCAACCAAGTCAGCGAGCCTGACCACCCGATCCCGTTAGTCGCCTTTTACGACAAGCAAATTCGTCTTTTACGGCAAGCATGGGTTGCTGAAGACCTATTCTACCGGATTTTCACGGGTCTTAATATAGTAGTCAGTTAACTCCCTTTCATCGGGAAGATGATTAGTCCCCCTCTAAGGAATAATCCTCATTTAATGTCGAGGTGCGGGCATTGTATTTGTCTCCGGTGATGAATTGTGTTTTTGTTCTTATGTCGGGAAAATCATTGCAAAGGATCATAAGCTGTGTTTTAGTTACATGGTGTTAAAAGACCCGAGTATCTATGTTGCTTACTTGTTCGTCCGTATGAAGATGGATCAGGGTTATACCCGGACTGTGGGTACGCTGGTTGCTATGTTACTTACTTGTTCGTCCGTATGAAGATGGATCAGGGTTATACCCGGACTGTGGGTACGCTGGTTGCTATGTTACTTACTTGTTCGTCCGTATGAAGATGGATCAGGGTTATACCCGGACTGTGGGTACGCTGGTTGCTATGTTACTTACTTGTTCGTCCGTATGAAGATGGACCAGGGTTGTACCCGGACTGTGGGTACGCTGGTTGCTATGTTACTTACTTGTTCGTCCGTATGAAGATGGACCAGGGTTGTACCCGGACTGTGGGTACGCTGGTTGCTATGTTACTTACTTGTTCGTCCGTATGAAGATGGATCAGGGTTATACCCGGGCTGTGGGTACGCTGATTGGGCAGGAGGGTACACGGACTGTGGGTACGCTGGTTGCTATGTTACTTACTTGTTCGTCCGTATGAAGACGGACCAGGGTTGTACCCGGACTGTTGGTACGCTGGTTGAGCAGGAGGGTACCCGGACTGTGGGTACGCTGGCTGCTATGTTACTTACTTGTTCGTCCGTATGAAGACGGACCAGGGTTGTACCCGGACTGTGGGTACGCTGGTTGGGCAGGAGGGTACCCGGACTGTGGGTACGCTGGTTGAGCAGGAGGGTACCCGGACTGTGGGTTCGCTGGTTGGGCAGGAGGGTACCCGGACTGTGGGTACGCTGGTTGGGCAGGAGGGTATGCTACTGAGGGCTGGGAGGAGGCGTCCCAGTAGCCAGGTGGATCCCCATGGGCATTGACAGACGCCATGCTTGCTTAATTTGCAGTTTTCTGTAAAATAAACATATTATATAACGATATACCTGCTTCCGTTCTGCTATAAGTGCTTCTGCTGTACTACTACTACCACTACCACTACTACTACTACTACTACTACTACTGGAGAGGTGGGGTAGCCTAGTGGTTAAAGCGTTCGCCAAAGGTCTGGGTTAGAATCGGTCTTAAGCAACCCATGTTTGTCCTCGACTCAATTATATACAGACCGCCGCCATATAGCTGGAATATTACTGAGTGCAGCGTTTAAAACAAACAAACAAACAAAACAAATACTACAATTACTACTGCCTCTACTAGCAGTAAATTATATTTTGTCATATTGTAGGAGGTCAATAATAGTAGAGAGAGAGAGAGAGAGAGAGAGAGAGAGAGAGAGAGAGAGAGAGAGAGAGAGAGAGAGAGAAACCCAAGATCATATAGTTTTTGGATTCGAACCCATGATATCTCATACTGTCAGCTGAAACGGGAAATAACTGATCATCATATCGCTAATATGCACTTTCCAGTAAACGAGAGAAGTCTATAATATTTAAGAAAAACGGAAAGTTGTAAGAAAAAACATGTGCAACATTTGCCCCCCGAAGGATACCAGTGAGGCTTCAAGGGATGTCTTGAGCTAGATATTAAAATCTACAGTTTCTCCGGAATGGCTGCCTGTTAAAAAAACTGATTTTTCTCCGTCAATCCGGGCATCCGAACGGTCCGAACGATTCACCCTTAACAGAGTTGTCTGTGTTAAATCTGGCGCAAAGATATGGAAGATATTTGTTTTTTCTTGTCAAATGACACGCTTTTCTCATGTTTGTATGTTTTAACGCGACACTCAGCAATATTCCAGCTATGTGACGCTGGTCTGTAAATAATCAAGTCTTGGCCAGGCTATCCAGTGATTGTCATCATGAGCATCGATCTACGCAATTAGGGTACGACGACATGATCAACCAATTTAGCGAGCCTGACCACCCGATCCCGTAAGTCGCCTCTCACGGCAAGCATGGGTTGTTAAAGAACTATTCTAACCCGTGTTTTTCTCATTCGGTGACCTGTCAAAGTTGATATTTTCATGAGAAGCGGAGCCACTTGTCAAAGGTGCATGTTTGACGTATTTGGACTTTGATTCAAGGGCGACAACTGCAAATTATGACCAGAGTAGTCTCCCTTGGTAGACAAGCTAGCAAGCTCCTTCACAGCGCGTGACACTCTCGGTAACATAGTATAGAGAGCTCCGGGAACGTACTATCGCTGTGAGGAGCTTGACAAGCTAGCAGAGAGCAAACAAGACCACTGTGGAAATGGCAGCTATGGAAAAGAAGAAAGATCAAGGAATCTGATAAGCACGGGTCATTACAGACAGAACAGGCATTCCACTATCAACTGTGAACCGTGGTTCTCATAAATATTGAAAGTGGGAATTGAGCACACACAGGGTGCAGGTAGGCCAAAGATATTGACTGTTGGTGCTTAAAGGCAACATGGTATATTGGCGTCTAAAAACAGACACATGAGCATAGAAATTATTTAGCATGTAATGATTAATAGGGGAACAGTTCATGCTTCAAAAGATACAAAATGAACGCTTTTGCATGCAATGGATTAGCAGAAATCACGAGGAATTCCATCACCACGCCTAAAACCCGAACTGGTGTTTGGAGCATAGAAATTTCAGCTCGAACATTATTATGTTCTCAGATGAAAATTCAGTGTGGCTATATCCAAACAGCATGACGATGTGGACCAAAGATACAGTAAAACCAATTTACCAGCATCCAAATGACGGGTTGGTATTCCAGCAAGACAATGATCCGAAACATAGAGCGGAGCATTCTCAGGAATGGTTCAACGAGCAAATTGTTACACTCCTTGGATAACCCAGCTACAGTCCGGACCTGAGATAACCCGGCTACAGTCCGGACCTGAGATAACCCAGCTACAGTCCGGACCTGAGATAACCCGGCTACAGTCCGGACCTGAGATAACCCAGCTACAGTCCGGACCTGAGATAACCCAGCTACAGTCCGGACCTGAGATAACCCAGCTACAGTCCGGACCTGAGATAACCCAGCTACAGTCCGGACCTGAGATAACCCAGCTACAGTCCGGACCTGAGATAACCCGGCTACAGTCCGGACCTGAACCCACATGATACTATTTGGGTAATCATGAAGGACAGTATCAATAAAAACATACAAAAAATATGTGACATGAAAAGAGAGGTGGTGATATATTGGGACAGTATGACTCTTGTTTTTTTTAACTTCCTTGATAGGCAGTATGCCTCGCCGCTTTGAAGCATGTATTAGGAAAAGAAGGGGTCTGACCTTATATTGAATAGTTTGCTGTTTTGTAGCTTTAGGTAAGCAGTATTTGTTGGACAAACCTATCTCTTGGTTTATGACTTCATAAATCTATAATTTACAATGTTCTCTTTCTCAATAATATCTGGCCAACGTATAGTTCCAGCATAAAGTGTGATTTATAGTACGTTATTTCACTCGCGTGAGATAAGGATGCATATTTTCTTATAAATACAGTATATTTCTTCACTTAATCCATAATAAATTAAAGTATATCTCATATGAACACGAAAGAAAACCATGGCAGATCGAAGGAAGACCTACAACAGTTTTCGTGACTGTGTTTTGTTTGTTTGTTATGTTTAACGCCGCAATCAGAAATATTTCAGAGTATGACGACTGCGTGACTGTGAATTTACAAACATCTAAGAGATTATTTCAACATACCTCAACAGGTCCCGTCCAACTACAACACTACATTAACGCGACATCAACACGGCGAGTAGCCAGGTAAAGGCCAGGGTACACACAAGACACACACAAGACACAAGCTGACGTCACAGGCGATCTATTGACGCCCCAGGCGAGCCAGTTCAATCGTTCTTAAAATAGAAGAGCTATATTCATTGATAGTCACTGTACATGTTGTAGTCACGGGTAAAGCAATACGTGTATGTGTAAATAAAAGGTTAAGAATTGCTCAAGAGCATTTCAGTGGCCGTATATAATATATATTTGATAACAATATACCCAGTGTGAGCGAAATTGTAGTCACTGTACCCGGCACAGCATGCATATGGATGGATCTATACGTAGACAATAGCCCTGGGACGTCTCCAAATTTACTACCCGGGTACCCAACCTCTATTACTCGACCCTACCCGGGTACCCACTGTAGGCCTCAAGAGATAGGAACAAAATGTCCGTTTGGGAATTTTTTTACCATAGCCCTGGCAAAACGTATTTAGATACACGTACTTAACAATCTGGTCATGCATACACTGAAGTTGACTTAAGTTATATAGATCTTTATTCAGCCAAATGAAAAGTCACAAGGAATGGGTGCATAATTTTTGTCATTTAACAATATATCATGTGTCTAACCACGGGTCCGGGTAGTCCTGTGGGTACTCGGGTCCTAGTCAGTACCCACCCGACCCGGGTACCCGAGTTACCCGTCCCAGCCCTAATAGAAAACATTCCAGATCTCAGTAAAGCTTGTAAAAAGCTTGAAAAAGTTGTATGGTAGACACGTGGAGGACAATTCCAAATATGACGTATCATTGACAAAACATGATGTCCTATGCAATTACCTATTGTACCCGTAAAGATCCGGGATAGAGTAGGTCTTCAGCAACCCCATGCTTGCCGTAAAAGGCGACTATGCTTGTCGCAAGAGTCGCCTAACGGAATGGGGTGGCCAGACTCCGTGACTTTGTTGTGAACGCAACGTTAAACACTATTTCACCTCATTCTTTCACATCAAATGTCTCCACGCCTATTGACACTATCAAACCTGTAGCCCCGTATCAATGTTAATTATACCAGTTGATACATGTAATCGATACAAGGCATGCAATACGTTGCATCGATAATTCGATTAATTGTAAGAACCCTTGTCAATATATTTTTTTTTCTGGGACGACATGTAACAAAAAAACTTACTTATCCATGCAGCTGGCGGATTTCAATCATTCAACGAAAAATACGCTTTTGAAAATATAAGCAAAACATTCATAACAGAACACGTTTATTATCCCCTTGTTGGGCTATATACAATGCTAACCTATATACAGTTGGCGAGTTTGACATCCTTTTGAACAACTCTTGAGTATTTTAACTGTTTTGGGAGGAAATCCCAAAGTGACAAATGCCGTTGATATCAACGAACTAATTGTGTTTTTTTGCGTTTCGATGCGGTGATCAGCAGATGTTTACACAACTAAGGGACGCAATTCTGCTCAGCTGAGTTGAGAAACAGTGGACGACCTTGCCCTTGACTGACAGAGGGTTAGCGAAAATACTGTGCACCGTTCAAAATAATTCTCAGAGATTTGACTTTTGTACATACCCCATTGTCAACCCCCATTTATTGCTAAGGTTCTTCTGATACAATGACAATAATGAAACACTTATCTCTTAAGAACATCGTTTAAACTTTGATCTGGTCCACATTTACTACATTTAACACATGAATTATATCGTTCATTCCGCGGCTTTCTCGGGGTTGAGGTACGCCGCTATGTCGGGGTAGAGCCACGCCCTTTCTCGGGGTAAAGCCACGCCCTATTTCCGGGTAGAGCTACGCCCTATCTCGGGGTAGAGTTACGCCCCTATCTCGGGGTAGAGCTACGCCCCTATCTCGGGGTAGAGTTACGCCCCTATCTCGGGTAGAGTTATGCCCCTCATGATCTCAGGGTATTGTTACGCCCCTAACTCGGGGTAGAGTTACGCCCCTATCTCGGGTAGAGTTATGCCCCTCATGATCTCAGGGTATTGTTACGCCCCTAACTCGGGGTAGAGCTACGCCCTTATCTCGGGGTAGAGTTACGCCCCTATCTCGGGTAGAGTTACGCCACTATATCGGGGTAGAGTTACGCCCCTATCTTGGTAAGAGTTACGCCCCTATCTCGGGGTAGAGTTACGCCCCTAACTCGGGGTAGAGTTACGCCACTATACCGGGGTAGAGTTACGCCCCAATCTTGGTTAGAGTTACGCCCCTATCTCGGGGTGGAGTTAAGCCGAATCGTTGACTGATTATTTCCGATGGCGTCCAATTTCCTTCTGGCAGTTGGGACAAGTATGGATGACGTCTTTGGTCTTGTCTATGCACAATGGGATCAGGAAACACCCCAAGCAGCCGCTGGAAGAAAAAGGACAGAACATGATTATGCATTACAATTTCACGGTTCATCATTATCGGATCCGCCTATAGCATCACCAACACAATCGACATTGACATGTTAAAAGACTATGGGGATTTCAGTGCTGACCATGTTTCCAGTCTCGCATGCTTGTCATAACAGCTGTCTGTTGTGGGTCGGGTGGTTTCAATACGTTACCGGCCGATTATTTTCCGATTTCGTTAATCATTGCTCATGCTCCTTATCAGCAGGGTAACAAGTACCACTTTTGAACATCTTTCGATATGAAGCGCTGGGAATCGAACTACCCACTTTCCGCTCTCCGCGCAGGCGCTCAATCCACAACACTGCGGAGGCGGTCGACGATACCAGAAATAACGAAACCAGAGATATAATTAATGTCAACTTCCGTTTTCTTAATTCACATTTACTTCCACACTTGTGGTTGTTTGTTGTTTAATGTAACATAACGACGGTCAAAAAAGAAAACAGTTAGGACCAAATATAAATGACTGATATTATGAGCAACAACCCAAACAATCGCCGTACGACTACATGCGATCAGGTGACCGTGTCTGACAACGCACCATATAGTGCGTCCCCTCTCTCGAGCAGGATACGTTGCTGGGGATGAGGGCGGTCGGGTAGCCTAGTGGTTAAAGCGTTCGCTCGTCACGCCGAAAATCCAGGTTCGATTCCCGACGTGGATACATTGTGAAGCCCATTTCTGGTGTCCCCCGCCGTGATATTGTTTGAATATTGCCAAAAGCGGCGTAAAACCATACTCACTCACTCATGGGCGGGTAGCCCAGTGGTTAAAGCGTTCCCTCGTCACGCCGAAAACCCGGGTTCGATTCCCGACATGGGTACAATGTGTGAAGCCCATTTCTGGTGTCCCCCGCCGTGATATTGCTGGAATATTGCTAAAAGCGGCGTAAAACCATACTCACTCACTCATGCTGGGGGACAGTTCGAACCCGGAATCCCGGGTTTGGTACAGAGGTATTAAACAGCGTTACATTAGGCTCAGGACGTGTTACAAAGTACAGATAAAATCAGCATTACCCAAGCATCCAAATCATCACCATGCTGACGCAGGTACAATGGCCAAATTTGTATCTTGTCGACGTCTGGATGTTGCCATGACAGAAGATACATTGCATCCCAACCGGGTCCTCACCCATGCGGAGGCGGCTCAGCAACTGAGGGGGCTGTGTCGTCACCACCATTCCTGAAGAACAGCGGACAGGGGTCAGTGCTGGACATCAGTGATTATATGCTAGTGACCATTTAATATTCTTGGGGTGGGGAGTCCATACATCTAGCATGTCCAGGGAAAGTATTTTAGTGAGTAAACCTGAGGATGTAATCACAAACTACATTTTTCCACATTTTACAGGAAACAGATGATATTTTGCTTTACCCAACTGCTGCAACAGAGCGGGCTTCAATGCCCCTGCTGAAGCGGGTTGTGAATCCCAGTTTGAGATGGTTTGGCGAGATCTCCGGAAGTCATTCGTCACCACTCGCCCCTTTCCGTAAACTGTGTCCCGGAATAACACGAGTTGGTCACGAATGCTCCGGAGGTCAGCGGAGCCCCGGTGAACAGAATGCGTTGGCGTCATAAAATCCTATATATGATCACGGGTTAGAATCCCACATTAGCACTGATTGTGGTGGCTCGAGGGTTTAATCAAAGTGCTAACCGTCTAAGATCTGCTACACCATTAGTTCTCCTATATTAAAAAAGATGTTCTTCTAGATAAGCTTTTGAAATATGGTCTTTTACAATTTTAAAATTATCACAAAGTGATAACAGCAGATATATGGTCCCCATGATGATAACAATGTTATGAAGAAAACAAACATAAATTATTGCAAAATAATATGCAAACGGAGATTGGCTTCATAACTCCTTTCAAGAATGATGCTACTCATAATATGCCAATTCTGTTGCGATGGATACAGCTAGGCATTTACTTACCCAGCTGCTGCAACAAAGCAGGGTTCAGATTCTCTAGAGATTGATTTGCTAGGTTTGGAATCCCAGCTGGCGATGGGTTGGAGGTGGAGGTCAGTGGAGCCCCGTAGGTGAGTTGGGATGGGTTGGCGGGATCCCCGTAGGCCATGCCTGACGCCATGCTTGCTCACGATGTTATCTGTAAAGTTAACACATCTATACTTTAAACACATACCGACAATACTTCTACAACTGATGCTGTTGCTGATTGTTCTACTTTAACTACTATTATGATTACCACTGTACGGCTACTGTTATGGCTAATACTACCTCTGCTACTACTGCTTCTACTAGGTGAACGATTAAATCTGCTGCTACTGCCTCTACTATAATTAGGAGGCACGGGTGGCCCAGTCGTCTAAGGCGCCGCGATTAGCTGTGCAGAGTTGCGTCCCTTGGGCACGCCAGAAACCTATGATTGTGGGTTCGAATCCCGGTTCACCCCGATTATGTTTCTAGGTTTGTCAGCACCATACCCGTTTTCGTGGGTTTCACCGAAGTGGTAAACGTCTGAGACCTGCATCACTTCGGGCTTTCCTCCCACATTAAGCTGACACGCCGTGATATAACTGGAATACTGTTAAAAGCCGCGTAAAACCCAACTCACTCGCTCTACTATAATTACTATCTAACGCTAGACAGACAGATATTTTATTTTCGTCTCACCCCTGTACATCATAAACACATGCATAAAATAGGAGATTATACATAAAAATAATAACACAGCGCCACTCATATAAAGTTATGAGTAAGTGAGTATGGTTTTACGCCGTTGTTTTGCAATATTCCAGCAATATCAAGGCAGGGGACACCAAAAATGGGTTTCACACATTGTACCCATGTCGGGAATCGAACCCGGGGCTTTGGCGCGACGAGCGAACGCTTTAACCGCTAGGCTGTCCGACCGCCCTATAAAATTATGAAAGACGATGCAAGACTAAATGATGTATACAGATAAAAAATGTTTTACCCATATAACAACTGCTTTTTGCGTTGTAATATTAAAAAGCGGGTTTTGGCAGTGACAAGTGAGGAGTTTGCTTGTACCAGTATGAACATTACTTTCCCATCAAGGTTCCTGCTAGTTCATCAGTTCCAGTTCTAATGACAATCACCAAGCCTTTCTGTCCATATAAAATACATGTTTATTTAACAGATGTGGCATATTTCTAAAACGACACCACTGTCTATCTATACATACCACTGTCTGACAATCGGAGGTAGCCACACTGTATTCTCATTAAGAAAAAAACTGATAGCCCGGTGGTGTATGCTATTTCGAACACTTTGTTAACCATTAAGTCTGCTGCTACATCTACAATAATCATAATTATGTCTAATGCTACTTTGAACACTATGTATATATTAAGTCTGCTGCTACGTCTACGATAATAATAATTATACCTAATGCTACTTTGAACACTATGTATACATTAAGTCTGCTGCTACGTCTACTATAATTATAATTATACCTAATGCTACTTTGAACACTATGTATACATTAAGTCTGCTGCTACGTCTACGATAATTATAATTATACCTAATGTTACTTTGAACACTATGCATATATTAAGTCCACTGCTACGTCTACTATAATTATAATTATATCTAATGCTACTTTGAACACTATATATATATTTATTCTGCAGCTACGTCTACGATAATTAAAATTAAACCTTATCGTACTTTGAACACTATGTATATATTAATTCTGCTGCTACGTCTACGATAGTTATAATTATATCTAATGCTACTTTGAACACTTATATATATTAAGTCCACTGTTACGTCTACGATAATTATAATTATACCTAATGCTACTTTGGACACTAATATATATTAAGTCCACTGCTATGTCTACGATAATTATAATTATACCTAATGCTACTTTGAACACTATGTATATATTAAGTCCACTGCTACGTCTCCAATTTTATTATAATTATACCTAATGCTACTTTGAACACTATGTATATATTTATTCTGCTGCTACGTCTACGATAATTATAATTACACCTAATGCTACTTTGAACTCTTTGTTAACCGTTAAATCTGCTGCTACGTCTACAATAATTACAATTATGCCAATACTGTAACCTATAATCACATACCTGGTGAAGATCAATTCTACATACCTGGTTCTGTCCAACGTATGAACTGGTGCGTCAGTAGTGAGACACACGTAGCGTAGATCAGGCAGCGGAGTAAGCGTGTGCGTGGACCAGTCTACACAACATGGGTAAGTATTCAGGTAAATATGACAGGAAACTGGTACCTGTCTGTCAGCTGCGGTCGAACGTTTGACGCTCGCCACTGTATCTATTTAAAGCCATTCACCGGAATGATTTCTTCATATATTCTATTTCAGACAAAGCGCCACTCTCCTCCCTAGCAACAGTTGCTGGCTCGGCATTGCCAGACTGTTTATACATGGTCCGGGCCGTTTTCTATGCGTTCAATTGCAATATTCCAGCAGCTCCAGGCGTTCGTGTCTACATTTCACAACGCTTGCATGATCTGTCAGCGAGATTTCAAAGAGCTCCAAACTACTCTTGCTCAATAGTTGTTTAATCAGGGTTACAACAAACCGTTGTTTGGTCAGGGTTGCAACAAAACGTTGTTTGATCAGGGTTACAAGAAATCGTTGTTTGATCAGGACTACAACGAACCGTTGTTTGATCAGGTTCACAACGAACCGTTGTTAAATCCGGGTTACGACAAACCGTTGTTTGATCTGGGTTACAACATACCGTTGTTTGATCTGGATTACAACGAACCGTTGTTTGATCAGGGTTACAACGAACCGTTGTTTGATCAGGGTTACACCAAACCGTTGTTTGATCTGGGTTACAACGAACCGTTGTTTGATCTGGGTTACAACAAACCATTGTTTGATCTGGATTACAACGAACCGTTGTTTGATCTGGGTTACAACGAACCGTTGTTTGATCAGGGTTACAACAAACCGTTGTTCGATCATGGTTACAACAAACCGTTGTTTGGTCTGGGTTACAACAAACCGTTGTTTGATCAGGGTTACAACAAACCGTTGTTTGATCTGGATTACAACAAACCGTTGTTTGATCGGGGTTACAAGAAACCGTTGTTTGATCAGGGTTACAACAAACCGTTGTTTGATCTGGGTTACAACGAACCGTTGTTTGATCAGGGTTACAACAAACCGTTGTTTGATCTGGGGTACAACAAACCGTTGTTTGATCAGGGTTACAACAAACCGTTGTTTGATCTGGGTTACAACAAACCGTTGTTTGATCTTGATTACAACAAACCATTGTTTGATCAGGGTAACAACAAACCGTTGTTTGATCTGGGGTACAACAAACCTTTGTTTGATCAGGGTTACAACAAACCGTTTTTTGATCAGGGTAACCCCAAACCGTTGTTTGATCTGGGGTACAACAAACCGCTGTTTAATCATGGTTAAAACAGGGTTATTAGTTGAATCTTCATGCGTATGTCTAAATATGAAACAGTTGAGGCGGTGTCAGTGTTCAAAAGCTCACGTGGGTATATCAGTGGGATGGGAATGGCTATTTGACCATTATTGAACGACATCATCGATATACCAGAAGCTTAAGTTAAACTTCTTGGACATTTCCCTTATTTTGATTTTGCCAATTTCAGCCAAATGTTTGTCTTCTTCTTTCAAGAAAATGATTCTATATGTTTGAATAAAACAAAAGCAAATGATTATCATGCAGTGTTTCTTCATCTTCGCCGCCTCCGTGGTCTAGTAGATACAGCGTCTGTCCTGAAAGTCCGTGGTTCGGTCCTCGGCCGCATCACACCAAAAGATGGTACTTGTTGTTACCCCGCCTGGTGCTTACCATCAAGGGGATAAAACAACGACTGGCCGTTTCTGAGTCGATGCAATGTGTTTGAGTAGGGTATCCATTTGACACTGCGGCATGGTACCTCATTGTACTAAGAATCAATACAAGTCCAGGCTAGCAGACTCACGCACACGACCGCACACACACACACACACACACACACACGCACGCACGCACGCACGCACACACACACACACACACATGCACGTCGCTATCATGTGCATGCACATCGCTATCTAAGCGAAATACACTCGAAGCTCGTTGTGTCGAACTCGTTGGGACCGGGAACTATGTTCGAGTTAAGTGGAAGGTTAGTGTTTGAAGTTGGTTTAACGCCGGTTTGAACTGTATTTCCATAAAGTCACTGTATGTGAAAGGTGATCAAACAAGGACTGGTCGGCTCGGAGTCAGTATACTGTGTCTGAGTGGGGTATTCATGTTAAACTGCGGTATAGAATCACAGTGGGCTAACACTATAGCCGGCATTAGTCGGACCAGCAACCACATACTCGTGTGCATGCACGTCGCCACGTGAGTGAAATAATTGTGAACGCGACGTTAAGCGATAATTCATGACTGTGAATTTACATACATGAAGCAAATAACTTCAGAAGATTATTTCAACATACCCCCACAGTCCAACTACAACACTACTGCGTCATTCTGCGACACCAACACGGCGAGTAGCCAGCTAAAGGCAAGGGCACACGCACAAGACACAAGCTGACGTCACAGGCGATCTATTGACGTCCTAGGCGATCTATGGAAGCCATAACTAAAACAGCTTCATTGAAAGTCGGTGTACATATAGTGCTCACGTGTGTTGCAATATTTGTAAATAAAAGGTTAGGAATTGCGCAAGGTCGGTTCAATGACTGTAGACGTCGACCGTATGTAATATATATCTACTAACACTATGCCCGCTGTGATCGTGGTTGTATTCACTGTACCGCAGTATACATAGCGGCAGGTCGGGGGTTCGATCACCGGACGTGTCATACCACAAGACGTAAAAAGATGGTACTTGTTGTTACCCTGCCTGGGTAAGCAGATAAAACAAGGACTGGGCTGGGAGTCAGTATGTTGAGTTTGAGTATCCCTATGATGGAGAGGGGTATCCGTGTGAAACTGTATCAAAACTGGTATCTCAGCACCATAAAACTGAAATCAGTCCCTCCCAGCAGCCACACACACACGTGCATTCATATACACATCGTTATAAGACCGCCTCTGTGGTCTAGTGGTAAAGCGTCCGCCCGGAGAGCGGAAGGTCCGGGGTTCGATATCCGGCCGCGTCATACCGAAAGACGTTAAAAGATGGTACATGTTGTTACCCTGTCTGGCGGTCGGCATTAAGGGGCTGAAACAAGGACTGGTCGGCTCGGAGTGGGCTAGCTCCATAAATCGGCGTCAGTCCGGACAAGTACATGCATACACACACACGTCGCTATATAAGTGCAATAACCTTGGACGCGGCGTTAAACCCAATTTCACCTCACTATCAACACTGTAGCCCCGTATCGATGTTAACTCTAACAACTGATACATGTTATCGATATCTTGCCTTGGACTATAGAAAAATTACAATGCATCGATAGTTTGACTATTCATTCGAACCCTTGTCAAATGGTTCCTTTCTAGGACAACAAAAACACAGACATATCCATAAATTATTTATACATTTCCAAATGATAAGCAATATCTTCAAAACAGAAAGAAAATGTCTTCAGCAACTCAAGTTTGCTGTAAAAGGCGACTAACGGGATCGGATGATCAGGCTCGCTGGATTGGTTGATGCATGTCATCGTATCCCAATTGCGTGGATCGATGCTAATGATGTCAGTCACTGAAATGTCTGGTCCAGATTCGATTATCTACAGTTCGCTGTCATATAGCTGGAATAATGCGGAGTGTGGAGTTAAACAGCAAACAAACAAATCAAAACAGAACAAGTTTATTATCCCCAGACTGGGCTATACGACGCTGTAATGATAACATACATATAGTTAGCGGACTTAACATCCTTTGAACACTGTTTGTGTATTTGAACCGTTTTGGAAGGAAATCCCAAAGTGACGAATGCCGTTGATATCCAAGTGATGGTCGTGTGGTTCAGCAGGCAAAGATCATAGCAGATGCAGTGATCAGCGGATCTTTACACGCCTCGTCTGACAACCATTGGGTCACCTTGCTCTTGACTGACAGAGGGTTAGCGAGAATACTTTACACACTTCAAAACAATCTGATGTGTCAGAGATTTTAATTTTGTACGTACCCCATTGCCAGCCTACATTTCATAGCTGAAATTATTTTGATAAATAGAGAATCTCATCCGAGTCTCTTTTGATATCAAATATATCAACACGAGTTGATAAAAGTTGAAAAATTCCGAGGCTTGCAGAGGATTTTTGCCACTTTTCTCGATTTATTTATCATCCAACATCATTCTTTCAACTTTTTCAATGTGTAGACAGTAATTAGCAGTGTCTTCATTGTAAAAAGTACTGTAAACAGCTTCAGTAGCAGAGCCATTAGGGATGTCATTTGATTGTGACGTCATGGTTACCAATGACGTCACAATGATCTGCAAAGCATTGTTATTACTTGCCCGTGAAGAGATCACCCGTTTAATAAACATACAGCTTTATTACACATTGTGTAATACCAAAACGCGTGCTTATGTACTCTCGGAACACGTTTCACGAACAAATATTGAAAGCTCTCAACATCCCTTGGCGTATTCAACGACATTGTGTGTGGAGATGATAGATCACTGGGAGGAGCTTATGCACACTCGATGACCCCAGCAACCTTGTTGCTAGGCTGACGTCACATGGCATTGTTTCGCCGATGGATCTTGCAACAAAATTCAACAAATTACGTCATCGGGTATTGTGACGTCATTGTAAACTTTGAGCTGCAAGGCCCCGTTCCACAAGGCGATCGTACTCTAGCGCAACGAGAGTCTTTAGTCTAAGTTCAATTATGTGAGTTGTGATAGCCTTAGCACTACGATAATTTTGCGGGACGAACGCCTGAATTCTAAAGGTGGACCATTGTATGATTTTAAATTCATACGTTTCAACTTTTGACGTGTTTGAAGTATTATTCTGTTAAACTCAATTGGATTATGCCATGGATCGTGTAGGTGTCAGCCTATTTACACTCAACAGTATAATTCTAAAAACATTATAAATGACAAGTAATAAATAAAATACTAAACTCGCTCTCGTGTAAAACCAATTTTATGAAACTCGTGAATAGTTGTGGTATCTGACTCGCTTTCGCTCGTCAGATACCAGAACTATTCACTCGTTTCATAAAATTGGTATTACACGGGAGCTCGTTTAGTATTCTATATGATGTAATTTCATTGCAGCGATATCTACAGTGTAGATATCGCTTCATCTCTCCCAAGCGATATCTCCTGTGGGAGGCAGTTTTGGATGATAAAATGACTATGAATGATATTAAAGGTAACACTTATCCTCACACTCCGTCGCAGTGGTGACTCAGCATATAACACCACTGCCACAGGCTAATTTGCATATCACGTGACCGGACTTTTCTCTTGTTTGTAAACAAACGCGCTTTTTCAGAAATCAGTATAGAACGGACTATTGCAAGTATTTGGGGGCGCTTTACATATTGTTTTGCATAACTATATAGATATGCTACTACAACTGCGACAGTGAGTTGCATGACAATATATATTTATACATCAAAGTGACCGTGTCGCTAGCTCTCCGTTGGGCTTCGATGACAGCACGTGGAGCCGTACAACCAATGTAAACATAGGATAACTACGCAAAAACAAGTAGATTTTTACGTATTTGCATACTTTCTCAATGAAAGTTAACCATTCTTTGACATTTGTTTATGAAAATGTGTAGACTTGTCAAACATGAAACGGATGAAAAGCATATGCAATATCTTGAATGGACTGTGAAAGATGTGACGAATCGTCACATGGCGCTGGCCTGTGGCAGAGGTACTATGCTAGCTGGCTGCCGGCCGCATGGAACTCTGGGTAGGAGAGTGACTTATCCTTTAAGAGCATCGTTTAAAATTTGATCTAGTCCATATTATCTGACTATAGTTCACATGACATACCTGTCTATGTAGTTCACAGTGTTCACATGGATCTATTTCCACTTTTTCGTGGCAGAGGTAACCTGCTATTTCGGGGTAGAATTACGCCCCAAATTCTTTTTAGAGCTACGCCGTTATTTCGGGGTAGAATTACGCCCTATCTCGGGTAGAGTTACGCCCTTATCTTGGGGTAGCGCTAGGCCACTATCTCGGGTAAAACTATGCCCCAAACTCTGGGTAGAGCAACGGCCATATCTCGGGGTAGAGCTACGCCCCTATCTCGGGGTAGAGCTACGCCCCTATCTCGGGTAGAGCTACGCCCCTATCTCAGGTAGATCTATGCTCCTATCTCGGGTTAGAGCTACGCCCCTATCTCGGGTAGAGCTATGCCCCTGTCTCGGGTTAGAGCTACGCCCATATCTCAGGTAGATCTATGCTCCTATCTCGGGTTAGAGCTACGCCCATATCTCGGGTAGAGCTACGCCCCTATTCTCTCGGGTGGAGCCACTTCGCTGACTGATTATTTCCGATGGCATCCAATTTGGTTCTGGCAGTTGGGACAAGTATGGATGACGTCTTTGGTCTTGTCTAAGCACAATGGGATCAGGAAACATCCCAAAACTCCGCTGAAAAATCGACAAAAGGGGATTATGCAAAACGGAAGTACGCATTACAAGTTCACGATTCATCATCATCGGCTCCGTCTGTGGCATCATAGCACAAACGACATCGACATGTTTAAAGACTCTATTGGGTTAACTGGTCAGGTCATATCACAGTTATCCCATGCTTGTCATAAGAGCCGACTGTTGTGGATCGGGAGGTTTTAATATGTGACCGGGCGATTGTGTGCCGATTGTGTGCCCATGATATCAACCACTCGTTTGCCTGAACTAGATTCGAATATGTACAAGCCGAAGCGATAAAGCTGAATTTTTACTGTTTCCGCCACAAGTGTAAGAGAATTTCAGTGTTGTTTCTGCACTATGTACTTCTAATAAAAGTTACATGAAGGACGAGGTATGATGAGGAACCATTGTTCCCCATTGATCAAATCAAATATTAAAGTTACAGACACTTGACGCTGCTTGTACTAGTCCAGACTTATGCAGGTTTTATAGAGCTAGCCCACTGAGATACTAGGCCACAGTTGAACATACCCTATTCACACACAGGGTACTGACTCCGAGCCAATCAGCATCAGTACAGGTTTTAGCCCTTAAATGCCGAGCACCAGGCAGGCTGGCACAATCTTTTAACGACTTTAAATATGACGCGGCCGGGGATCGAACCACGGACCTTCCGCTCTCCGAGCAGACTCTCTACCACTGGACCACGGAGGCCGTCGAGGAGGACAATAATAACGAGACCTAAGAAGCATGAAAGTCAACTTCTGTATCCTATATTCACATTTCGATGCTTATTTTGATCTCTTCATCGTCCCCCCATAAAGGTCAAGAAGTTTGGTTGGTTATTCGTTGCTGTATTGTGACGGCTCCGTAAAAACTTGAGTCGGGACTGATGGTGACTAAAATTATGGCTGATAGTGACTAAAATTATGGACAACACCCCACGCCATCACCGTCACCATCCCACGCGATTAGGTCGAGTCTGACTACCCGATTCACCTCTTACGACCAGCATACGTTGGGTAAGAATTCTAAGCCGGATACTACGGTGGCCCATAAGGGACATGGAATCTGTTTTTCCATGTTTTGATATTTCACTTACATTTATCGTAACCTTTTGCAAATTAACACGATTTGTCTTACAAATATGTGATAAATCATGTGTAAAGAAGATATTGCGTCGCTGAAAAGTGAAACGAAAATGTCAAAAACTAAAATGAAAATGTCAAAAATAAAAGCGAAAATGTCAAAAACTGAAATCAAACCACAGAAAACTATTTCCACCGCGGTGATAATATTCCCACCGCGGTGGAAATAGTTTTCTGTGGTTCATTTTAGTTTTTATTTTTGACATTTTCGTTTTTGTTTTTGACATTTTCATTTTAGTTTTTGACCTTTTCATCTTGGTTTTTGACATTTCCATTTTAGTTTTTGACATTTTTGCTTCGCATTTCAGCGACTCAATAGCTACTTGAAAGTACATTTTCCATGTTTTCAGTTGTTTTTATACATGATTTATCACATATTCGTATGACACATTGTGTTAATTTGCAAAAGGTTACGATAAAAGTAAGTGAAAACATCAAAATATTGAAAAACAGACTCCATGTCCCGTAGGATACAGAGGTTATAGACTGTTGCTGTAGATATGTTTTGAAGGTCAATATCTCCGTGGAGCTCAGTGTTGATAAAAACAGCCTTACCCAAGCATGAAGATGAGAATCATACTCATGCAGGTACACATGCCAAACTTGTATCGTGTCGACGTCCTGATGTTGGTGTGACAGAAGTAACACTGCATCTGCACCGGACTCTCACCCATTCGCATGAGGCACAACATCGGAGAGGGCTGAGCTGTCACTACCATTCCTGGAGAACAGTGGACAGTGAAGGGCATCAGTCTTCATTATTAGTGTAGGGCATCAGTCAGTGGTCTGTGTAGGGCATCAGTCAGTGGTCAGTGTAGGGCATCGGTCAGTGTAGGGCATCAGTCAGTGGTCAGTGTAGGGCATCGGTCAGTGTAGGGCATCAGTCAGTGGTCAGTGTAGGGCATCGGTCAGTGTAGGGCATCAGTCAGTGGTCAGTGTAGGGCATCGGTCAGTGTAGGGCATCAGTCAGTGGTCAGTGTAGGGCATCGGTCAGTGTAGGGCATCAGTCAGTGGTCAGTGTAGGGCATCGGTCAGTGTAGGGCATTAGTCAGTGGTCAGTGTAGGGCATCGGTCAGTGTAGGGCATTAGTCAGTGGTCAGTGTAGGGCATCGGTCAGTGTAGGGCATCAGTCAGTGGTCAGTGTAGGGCATCGGTCAGTGTAGGGCATTAGTCAGTGTAGGGCATTAGTCAGTGGTCAGTGTAGGGCATCGGTCAGTGTAGGGCATCGGTCAGTGTAGGGCATTAGTCAGTGGTCAGTGTAGGGCATCGGTCAGTGTAGGGCATCAGTCAGTGGTCAGTGTAGGGCATCGGTCAGTGTAGGGCATTAGTCAGTGGTCAGTGTAGGGCATCGGTTAGTGTAGGGCATTAGTCAGTGTAGGGCATCATAAAAGGGCATTAAATAAATATATTATTGCAAATTAATTTGGAGACGGGTTTTCCTTTGGAGGATGCTGCGACTCATAATATATCCCCCTGTCACCGTGGATACAGAGGGGTTAATTCCTTACCTGGCTGCTGATACTGAACAGGGTTGTAACCCCCAGCTGGAGATGGGTTCGGGGGAGCCCCGTAATTTTGCGGAGCCCCGTAGGTGAGTTGAGATGGGTTGGCGGGATCCCCGTAGGACATGCCTGACGCCATGCTTGCTCACGATGTTATCTGTAAAGTTAACATTGTTTTATCTATACTTTAGATAGACTGACACAATACTTCGTCTTCTACTACTACTACTACTACTACTACTACTACTACTACTGTTTCTGCTGCTGCTGTTATTACTCCTCGACTTATGCTGCTGTCATAATTATGTTATTGTTTTCACTACTGCTACAATTATTATCGTAACTATCTAGTTGCATTACTGCTTCTATAACTAATGTTGTTACTGCTAGTTATATCTTAACTTTTATCAATATGATAACTACTCCCCTGTAATTATTGTTACATCTTATAATTTCTCTGTCACTGCCATGTTGATATGTCAACTATTGTCCTATGCTACTTCTACTATGATTATAATTATGTCTAATACTATTGTTGGTACTGTTACTATAGACATAGAGACCATGTTCCCAGTCATATTTTCTCGTCTTTCAACTGATGTAGAAAAGTAAAGAAATCATGATAATGGCAATCCTTACAAAGCCCCAAATGAACCAGTTAGGCTGCAGTGTTCGTCTCCTAGCGCTTTATCTGACACACACAAAGTATCAATGTTTGTAGTGGCTTATCAAAGACCATATACAGCTGACTAGCCAATTCTACGGAAGCCTTTTAGGGTCATTTTAAAAAAAATTCTTTCTTGAAATTTCAAGATCCTTACTTCAAATTCCAAGATACTAAGATCATTATCTTAAAATTCCAAGATAATGATCTTGAAATTTCAAGATACTAACTTGAAATTTCAAGATACATAAATTGACATTTTAAGGTACTAACTTGAAATTTAAAAGTTGAAATTTCAAGATACATCTAGGTTGATAATGATCTTGAAATATTCAAGATCATAAGTTGAAATTTCAACTCAGTACTTAGTATTTTGAAATTTCAAGAAAAAAACAAAAAAAACAAATGGCCCTAAAAGGCTTCCGTACAATTCACAAAAACCTCGCATGTAAGTCTTCGAATCTCGCAGAATCTTGCGCGAAGGTGCCACTTGGTCTCTCGCGGCAGTGATCGGACTCCAACTATCCCGAGGACCGTCCGTCAGTATATGTTCCCTGGCCTTATGTATCGTGAGAGTGAGTGAGTTTGGTATAACGCCGCTTTTAACATTTTTATTCCAGTTATATCATGGCGTGTCAGTTTAATGTGGGAGGAAAGCCTGAAGTGATGCAGGTCTCAGACGTTTACCACTTCGGTGTAACCCACGAGCACGCGTATGGTGCTGACAAACCTAGAAACATACTCGGGTTGAACCGGGATTCGAACCCACAATCATAGGTTTCAGGCGTGCCCGAGGGACGCAAATGTGCACAGCGAATCGCGGCGTCTTAGACGACTGGGCCACCCGTGCTCCCCAGATATTTAGAGCACAGCTGAAGACTCTGATCCATTGGATGTTTGGGTCACGAGTAGTAGACGACTGGGCCTCCCGTGCCCCCGTGTATCGTGAGAAATATATGAATGAAGACTGAGGCGTTAAGCGCTATTTGTACAATAGAATTACAGAGGGAGTGTACTCGTGTGTATTTGTAGCCCTGGCAGGCCTGATCCCAGTCTGTCCAAAACACTTCAGATCAATTGGAGATCAATGCTATAGCTACATACCTGGTTCTGTGCAACTGATGCGTCAGTCGTGAGACAGGCAGCGGAGGTAGCGTGTGAATAAACCAGTCTACACAACATGGGTAAGCATCCAGGTAGATTTGACAGGAAAGTGGTACCTGTCTGTCAGCTGTGATAGAATCTCGGAGGTTTGTCCCAGTGTTTATTTAAAGTCATTCACCTGCAGTATTTCTCCATAGATTCTCTTTCAGACAAAGCGCCACTCACCTCCCTAGCAACAGTTGTTGGCTCGGCATTGCGACACTGTTTATACATGGTCCGGGCCGTTTTATTGCTTACGTTAAGATACGATCGATTTCACATAGATAGCTGAAGTAGTCACGGATATAAAGCGAAAATGAATATTGGGCTTTATTAAGTTAATATGTGTAAAAAATGGCAAATACTATTAAATACCAATATTAATAAGAAAAACGACAAATTCGAAACAGACTGTAACGCTGAAGGCCCGGGGTTCGATTCCCAATGTGTGAAAAAAACTATTTCTGGTGCCCCCCGCCTTGCTGGAATATTGTTAAAAGCGGCGTAAAACTACACTCACTCACACTTTCTGTCAAGATACTCTGCAGTATTCTACATAACCCAACGACGAGGTCCCCGTTTTACAAGGCGATCGCAGAGCTATTGTTGTCACGAACCTAGGCTTGAATTTTACCATGGTTACGTTTATTACGTACACGAGAACAGTTCGAAATCGCAATTATATTTTTTCACTTTAGTAGAAAACGCCTTCCGTACATATGCATACTGACCGCCTCCGTGGTCTAGTGGTAGGGCGTCCGCACGCGTCACATCAAAAACGTCAAAAGATGGAACTTGTTGTTACCCTGTCTGGCGCTTGGCATTAAGGGGTTAAAACAAGGACTGGTCGGCTCGGAGTCAGTATACTGGTTCCTTATCATACCTCGTCTTTCATGTAACTTTAGAAGTATATAGTCCAGAGTGAGTGAGTGAGTGAGTTGGGTTTAACGCCGCTTTTAACAGTATTCCAGTTATATCACGGCGTGTCAGCTTAATGTGGGCGGAAAGCCCGAAGTGATGCAGATCTCTGACTTTTACCATTTCGCTGAAACCCACGAGCACGGGTATGGTGCTGACAAACCTAGAAACATAATCGGGGCGAACCGGTATTCGAACTCTAATCAAAGGTTTCTGGCGTGCCCAAGGGACGCAACTCTGCACGGCGAATCGCGGCGCCTTAGACGACTGGGCCACCTGCGCCCCCTTTAAGGCTGAGAGTTAGACACTGATGCCGCTATCTTAATGCAAATTGTATTTACTTAAGACGTTACATTAAAAGTTCAATCCCTATTTACAAAAAAAGAAAATAATATAAATAGGGGCAGTTGCTGCTTGAGCAGCTCTGAAGCATTTATATTTCGCTCCAGGATTTTCAGTCAGTAAAGATGTCATTTTATTTTGATTTGATCTACGCGTACATGCTGACATAAGTGGTATGCATATGCACTTGGGCCAAGTATGGATGAAATCTTTGGTCTTGTCTAATACAATGGAATCACGAAACATCCCAAAACTCCGCTGAAAAAAATGGATAAAACAGGATTATGCGAAACGGAAGTACATATGACAAGTTCACGGTTCATCATTATCGGCTCCGTCTGTGGCATCACTAACACAAACGACATCTGCATGATTCAAGACTCTAATGGAATTACTAGTCAGGTCATGTGACAATTATCCATGCCTGTCTGACTATTGTGGATCGGGTGGTTTTGATATGTTACCGGGCGGTTGTGTGCCGCTCGTGTGGATCAGTTCTCATCCTATCAGCCACTGGTTTGCCTGACCCAGGCTCAAATGTGTACAAGCCGCAGCACTACAGCTGAAATACTGCTGACTCCGCCACATGTATAAGATAATCTCAGCGTTGCTTCTGGAGTATAGAGGGGGCACGGGTGGCCCAGTCGTCTAAGGCGCCGCGATTCGCTGTGCAGAGTTGCGTCCCTTGGGCACGCAAGAAACCTATGATTGTGGGTTCGAATCCCGGTTCGCTCCGATTATGTTTCCAGGTTTGTCAGCACCATACCCGTGCTCTCGGGTTTCACCGAAGTCTAAGACCTGCATCACTTCGGGCTTTTCTCCTTTTAAGCTGACACGGCGCGATAAAACTGGAATACTGTTAAAAGCGGCGTTAAACCCAACTCACTCACTCAGCCTTAAGTCACCTAGAGTTTGGTTTATGTTAACATTTGCATTGGGTACCACATGTTTAATAGTGTGTTCCAGTTGTTTAACATCACACTCAACAATATTCCAGCTATATGACATCGGTCTCTAAGTAATCGAGTCTGGACCAGGAGCATGGATCCACGAACTAGGGATACGATGACATGCATGTCACCGAGACTTACCACCCCGTCCATTTAGTCGCCTCAAAGCCTTGTAAATTTAGAAAGTAGTCAGACATTTTCGAACCTATGACAATCATCAGAAATGCGTTAGAAATGTGTTACAAGCAAGTATTTACCGGGGTATCATCTTCGAAAGCCATGCTTGGAATTTTCTGCAAGTCGGACACAGCATTCATGACTAACGTGCTTGTGCATACGACAGTGCATGATGGTCATGTATTGGTGTCAGGTGTAGATTCATATTAAATATACACCCAAAGTAAGTTCATATCGTGAACTACGCAAATCCGGTCAGTGCATGCATTTCCTATTGTATTTGCGTTTGTTTAATAGATGTAAAATCCGGATTTTCGTCCCGTGTCTTACGACAAGGAAAGAGTGCTGGTGGCCAATATTGTTTACCCGGAGTCCTCACGGGACGTCGGGGATAAGGCAGATGCTAGTGTTGTAGTTGTATGTATTTCCACATTATTCCATGGGTGCACATGTCTGTCCATGATATCACAGTGACTGTATTTCAGTGGGAGGAAATCCCGAAATGAACAAGGCCGTAGATCAACGAGCATGGCTATGGTTCGTGCGTGTGCGTGTGATGATGTGTGACAAGCATGGTGTGTGTGTGTGTGCCTGTGTGACGATGTTTTTTGTTTTGTTTTTGTGTGGGTGTGGGGTGTGGGTGTGGGGTGTGGTGTGGGTGTGGGTGTGGTGTGGGGTGTGGGGTGTGGGTGTGGGTGTGGGTGTGGTGTGTGGGTGTGGTGTGGGGTGTGTGGTGTGGGGTGTGGGTGTGGGTGTGGGTGTGGGGTGTAGGTGTGATGATGTGTCTGATGCATGGTGTGTGTGTGTGCCTGTGTGACGATGTTTTTTTGTTTTGTTTTTGTGTGGGTGTGGGGTGTGGGTGTGGTGTGTGGTGTGGGTGTGGGTGTGGTGTGGGGTGTGTGGTGTGGGTGTGGTGTGTGGGTGTGGTGTGGGGTGTGGGGTGTGGGTGTGGGTGTGGGGTGTAGGTGTGATGATGTGTCTGATGCATGGTGTGTGTGTGTGTCTGTGTAACGATGTGTTTTGTTTTGTTTTTGTAGGGGTGTGGGGTGTGGGATGTGGGTGTTGGGTGGAGATGGGGGTGTTGGGTGTGGATGTTGGTGTGGGGTGGAGATGGGGGTGTGGATGTGGGGGTGTAGGGTGTGGGGTGTGGGGTGTGGTGGGTGATGGTGGCGGTAATGAAATATTACCATAGCTGACGCTAGGCTGAATTTATTCATATGTACTTATAGTCTACATGCCAAAGTGGCATGTATTATGATGCACTAACATTCCAAATATCCATAACAAGATTTGTAAAGGGACAAATATATTATATTTCAAATTACCGGCAAATATATTCGGTTCAAATGACTTCGATGGATAAACTACTTAATAAAAGTCGCTTGTTCTAATAAGAGGAAGTAACTCGTGAAACCGTCGTCGTCAGATGTCACCAAATAAAATGAAGCCGGTGTAAAATATCTTCATCACAAACAAACGTCATTGTAGGACATTTCACTTCAACATGTTTTCATTACGTGAATGACGTAACATTATTACGTCGCATCAGAAACATCTCAGTCATATAACGACCCACTATGTCGATAACATCTTTAATAACTAGATCCACCGAAATAATTAAGAACTATTCAGCATTGTGTGATTGTGTGTAACTTTAACGCCTCGTTTGCCAATACTTGTACACAGTCACGGCAAAAGATACTAAGAGTGGGCTTTGCACATTATACAATTTTATAGGACTCAAACCCGGGTCAATCGCGTGACCAGCTAACGTCTTAACCACTAGACTACCATACTACCTTAAGTGCTTGTCAACATATATATACGACCAATAGATCTGGCTGAACTAGTAAGCATTGTTAAAACAATGAGCCTATTCGAGGCGACGACCCATTGATCCTGGCACGCCTGGGGCGTTCGGGGTGGGGGTGGGACAACTTTATGGAGTGAGTGAGTGTGTCACTTTAAATAGTATTTCAACAGGGATAAAAACCCGGCTTGGTGCAGATTTTTTACCCACGGGGTCAGATATGATGCTGAGAAACGTAGAAACATAATCAGGTTAAACTGGTATTCGAACCAACGATCATACATTTAAGCTTCTGGCCTAAGGAACGCAACCTGATCAGTCAATTTCGGCGCCTTAGACGGCCCCCAAACGTCAATACGAGACGAGTGCCAATACATGGACAGAGTGAGTGAGTATGGTTTTATGCCGCTTTTAGCAATATTCCAGCAATACCACTGCGGGGGACACCAGAAATGGGCTTCACACGTGGTACCCATGTGGGGAATTGAACCCGGGTCTTCGGCGTGACGAGCGACCGCTTTAACCACTAGGCTACCGGACCGCCCCCGAAAGAACAGAGGATATGACAAACAACTTATATTTAATTTAAGTCATTTATTGTGAACTATAACGATTTTTTACATACATCAGTCGTACATTTATTATCAGACACACAGTACAAGACAGTGAAGAAACAAGTCAACGAGAGAAAATATAATTATGTAAGCATCAGGATACACAATCATGTACATGAAGTTTAAAAATATCTCTTATAAAAGTAGTATCGTATCTTTTAGCTGAAACATAAAACTATTTCATTTGGAGATTTTAAAAAATATGATAGTTGTTTTGAATCATATTTAGATTTTGGAAAATCAGTATAACCGATTAATATATACGACCCACCAGGAGAGAAGGGACCTCATCGGTGCCAGGATACAACTGTGCATAGCACGTCACAAAGACAGACGTTTGACGTCAACGTAAAAACTGCCATCGCTGCGGACTGTACAAAAATATACCATTTCTCTCTCGTTAGTGCGTAATGTAATAAAACCATTTCAAAACATTTCAGCTTACATGTCTACTTTCAGTTAAGCAGATCATATATTTAAAAACGGCAACTATTGCATGAAGTTAAGTGTGAAAATGGGACTTTGTAGAAAATAGGTCCAAATGTTTGATGTCATGCATCTCTGAAATAAGTGAGAATTGAAGCTTACGAATTGTATTATCATGGTTCTAAGATACCGTAGTTTTAAAATATATCAAGAATATCAGAATGTGATTTTTCATCCAAAAGGTCTCTAATCTCATGGCTTGTCACATGGATTACACATTGAAAGATCCGGATATGAATGTACAGGTGCGAGAACAAAGGCGAATGCGAAACTTGTTCCTTTTTTGTCTGGCAAAAGTACTGTCACCTGTCTTCTGTCTAAGAGCACGTCCAAATACTTGTCCAATGAATAGCACATGCCTGTACAATGGCAATTTTGATATTCAACTTCAGGCCCAGCTCTCTGTCTGAATCGCGAGGTGCTTGCAGCTCTACATGTATATACAGTGTATTGGTTTGAGTTGTGGATGAGTGAGTGAGTTGAGTTTACGCCGCTTTCAACAGTATTACAGTTATATCACGGCGTGTCATCAAGATGTGAGAGGAAAGCCCGAAGTGATGCAGGTCTCGGACGTTTACAACTTCAGTAAAACAATGGTTAAGGTGCTGACAAACCTAGAAACATAATCGGGTTGAACCGGGATTCGAACCTGCGTTCCTGACATGCACAAGGGCCGCTACTCTGCACAGACGACTGGGACACACTGGTTTGTGTACATTATCGTGGTATATATGTACTACTCGTGACCCAAACATCCAGTGGATCAGAGTCTTCAGCTGTGCTCTAAATATCCGGGGGCACGGGTGGCCCAGTCGTCTAAGGCGCCGCGATTCGCTGTGCAGAGTTGCGTCTCTTGGGCACGCCAGAAACCTATGATCTTGGGTTCGAATCCCGGTTCGCTCCGAGTATGTTTCTAGGTTTGTCAGCACCATACCCGTGCTCGTGGGTTTCACCGAAGAGGTAAACGTCTGAGACCTGCATCACTTCAGGCTTTCCTCCCGTATTATGCAGACACGCCGTGATATAACTGGAATACTGATAAAAGCGGCGTTAAATCCAACTCACTCACTAACTCTAAATATCCGAGACCCAAGATACACAGAGGTATTCAAATAATTTATATGTTATAAGCAAAATAGAGTATACTTCAGAACAAATACAATCTGTTCTAGGCAAAATATCTACATACAATCCATACACTCATTTTGGAACTTTAAAACACTGTTATATAGTGATTTTAAACAATTTCGAAACGGGTAAGGGTTCATGGTCAAGGTTCTGGCTTTGGTTTGATATGTGGTAAGAGCAAAAACAACTCGTCATTCGTTTACACATTCATGAAACAAACTTTATAACAATTTGTCTGAACACAATTTCCATACGACGTATAATCGCAAATAGTGCAAAGGCACAAAATACATTCACACTATTGGGAAATAAGGTATGCAATAAGCAGCTATTGATTATTATATCAACCGTAATTAGATCCTACGAGATCAGTGTATAAGGAAAATAGTGACTTAGACCAAGAAACTATTGGGTAAAACGATGTGAAGAGACGCACATTTAAAACGTCAAAGTCTGGGGTATTTATATTCTTATCTCTGTAGTACAGCACAGCGCAGGGTCCTGGTTTAAACTCCACAGAATGAGTGAGTATGGTTTTACGCCGCTTTTAGCAATGTTCCAGCAATATCACGGCGGGGCACACCAGAAATGGGCGTTACACATTGTACCCATGCTGGGAACCGAACCCGGGTCTTCGGCGTGACGAGCGAACGCTTTAACCACTAGGCTACCCGACCGCACCTAAACTTCACAGAAAGCTTCTCTTGTGTATCATTGTCATGTAACAATGACACCATGTGTTCGGGGAAACAAGCGAGCATCGTGAACATTTCCTGTTCTACCGGAAGCCCCCGTCGTGTGTGAAGGTCAAGGTCACGGTACATTTGACCCGCACCCTCTCAGCTCCGGATATGGTTTTCTCGCAAATGACGGGCAAAGTGTAGGAATTGCCCCTGGCATCCTGTCAAGGCAATCAACATGGAGTTTGTAACTGTGAGGGCCCTTTGGGGAAAAAATCAGGGGAATGGTTGATAATTTTCGCGAACACCTGGTATCATTATTTGACAGTGATTCATAAACACATGATCATGATATAGTCGGAATCGACTATTGAAAGGGTTCTGTCGCTTTTATTATAACAAAGAAACAATTCATCATGCACGTAGTCTTCCCAGGAACGTTCTGGGGTAGAAGGAGTCTTCACGACGGCCATCGTCATCATAACTAGGAAATCTGCACCTCATGTCATGTTCTTTGCTTAACATGCTCTGTACTGGAAGTATTTTAAAATTTCGTCCATTACAGCAAATATCTTGAGGAGCAATATATAAGGGAGGACAAGATATATGGATGAACAATTTATTACAATTGTCCACCCATATATCTTATCCTTACTTAGTACTCCAACTTCTAAATGCCTCCCAAAGGAGCAATATCTGAATGAAAAGAATAATCAGGTATGACGAAATCTGAGTAATTTCCTCTTTTCTGAAAGTGACAAATGTGTCCACGGGGGAAAATGGTGAGCCAAAACACACAGGACCTCGTTTATCGTGCTGTAAAATCACAATTAAGACTTAAAAATATTACCCATGCGTTTGAAAGATCAGAGCAATATCGTCTTAAGATTTGCAGTAGTGATTTCTGGATTGATTAATGTTTGTTTGTTGTTTAACTCCGCACTCTGCAATATGTTAAATAACAAGCATATTAATTGGAACATATTATCGCCCAACCCACGTAGTCCAAATATCATTACATGATTATCTATTGAGCAAGAACAGTTATGGCTCGTGAACATTTTTGGGAATATTTTTGTGGTACAGACCGGACACATAGTTTCGGAAACATATAAATATTAATGATCCTAACTTTGTTTTTCAGTGTATAATATTTTAAGTTTTTATAAAAAGGCCCATTTCCTAATGATGTGTTTTGGCGATACTTAACAACCAGATAAACAGTATTCCAAAAAATAAGATCATGGAGTAAAACTCACGCCAAGGGTATATTGTAGCATATAAACATATAAGAAACTATAATAACATATCGAAACAAAACGAAGGCGAAGTCTAAAAAGAATCAGAATATCGTTTGATTACCACCAACTTGGTAACCTTTTAAAAGTACATTAGTGAATAAAACTAACACAATGCGTTACAATAGGTGCTTTTTCAGTATTTGCAAACAGTATGCAAACAGTCAGTGACAAAAACTGTAAATATAACGAATAGTGAGTGTGTTTTTTTATCACAGGTTACTTCAGCATATTAAAAGTACTGCATAAAGAGCAAGATGTTTTATACATAAAAAGTACTTTCCGTATGATATTTACAAGTCTCTCAAATTTCAAATGAGACAGATTCATATTCAGGGCGTACGTCATATAACAAGAAACCCTCATTATGTATAAATCAGATCTACATGCGTGATAAGTACAATACTCATTGGTGACACGCGTGTACCAAGTTTGGTCCTTGGGTGTTGCCGAATATGTATTTAAGAAACTGCAAAGGTAGAATTTATACTTTGTTTCAAAATGTATATAATTTAAGTAGGGACCATATTACAGATGGCTTCCACAGAGAATCGATCTCTAGAATTATTTCGGAGATAGTGCAAGTTTGGGTCTCTCATCCTGTCCCCGAAAAGCAGCAAGTTGACTGAGGCACATTCAGTGGTACGGTGAAGTTGTCTTCCTGTTCGGGGGGCGGCATTTCCGTTGGTTTACAATCGCCGGTAGGCTCCGATTTGGCTCTTGCAGTTTGGACACTGGTGAATGACGTCTTTGGTTCCATCAACGCAGAAAGGGATGAGGCAACAACCAGCCCAGCATCTGCAAAGGCAAAAACAAAGATGAGTGAGTGAGTGAGTGAGTGAGTGAGTGAGTGAGTGAGTGAGTGAGTGAGTGAGTGAGTGAGTGAGTGAGTGAGTGAGTGAGTGAGTGAGTGAGTGAGTGAGTGAGTGAGTGAGTGAGAGAGAGAGAGAGAGAGTGTTAGATTCTACGCCGCTTTTATCAATATTCCATGAATATCACGGCCGGGGACAGAAATGGGCTTCACACATTGTACCCATATGGGGAATCGAACCCGGGTCTTCGGCGTCATGAGCCAACGCTTTAACCACTAGGCTACCCGACCGCCCCCTCCAAAAGTGAAGAATAGTACAAACTTTAAACCGGTAAGTTATATTTGCCCGTTACATCCATCCGTTTACTCCGACGGTGTGTTACATCCAACCGTTCATTATATGCAGCTGCTCGTTACATCTGAATGTTCGCTACAACCAACTGTTTGTTATAAACGACCGCTTGTTACAAACAACTGTTTGTTACCATTGTGTGTTTGTTTGCTACATCCAAACATTCTTTATATCCAACTGTTCCTAACATCCAGCTGTTTGTTATAGTAGAGTGTTGGTTAAATACTGTTAGTTACAAACAATTGTTCTATATATGCGGCTGTTCGTTACATCCAAGTGTTTGTTACATCCGACTGTTCGCTGTAGACTCGGAGACACGGCAGTGATTACATTACTATATTGCTTAAGCCTAAATTGGGTAGCGTCCGGTTTGACATGCTTGGAAATTAGTGCTGTCAAACACGATTGGGTACCTTGGTACAATGTTCCCTGGACGACCGAGGATGATGTGACAAGACTTACCCCACAATACAGATGATCCCAGCAGCCAGCCATGTGAGGGAACCTGTCTCGTAATAGGTGGATGAAACGATCTGAGCGTTACAACGGGGACACTGCAGCTGGGCGGGAGCCTCGCCCAGTCGGGCTGGATGCAGCAACACCGTTGACGGCTGGGCCATCACCACGGCTGGGGTAGGGAGAAAGGCGATCAGTGTCATATCATGTGACTCTCTGCTCGAAGTTTCTTAGGGGTACTGAGATATCTCATACTGTTTATATATTGAACAAACAACGCCAGGGATCATGAATATTTTAGGGATATTCTTATGAAATTGTGTCTTCACCACAAACATATCCCCGCAATAAACATGATTATAAAAACTTATTTTGCTGAGTATATATACAGATTATAAATAATCGGTCATACCCCATTAGTCATACCCCAAAATAAACATGATCCCTAACTTCTTTTGCTCAGTATATATACAGATTATAAATAATCGGTCATACCCCATTAGTTATACCCCAAAATAAACATGATCCCTAACTTCTTTTGCTCAGTATATATACAAATAATAAATAATCAGTCATAACCAATTAGTCATACCCCGAAATAAACATGATCCCTAACTTCTTTTGCTCAGTATATATACATATTATAAGGAATCGGTTATGCCCCATAAGTTACACACCCTTTGGTCATACTCCAATTTGTCATACAGTAAAGTGGAGATTATTTGTTTGATAGGCATTTCTTGATGTTGACGGATGAAAAATCAAGACCCAATTTATGGAAAACAACGTCTTCATATTACTGTTAATTCAAATAACTAGTATGTATATATTGAAGCACATAGTCTTTCAACTGATATTAACTCAAGCAACTAGTATTCATATTTTCTAAGTCAAACAGCACCTAGTCATTCAACTGATATTTATTAAAGAGACCAGTAATCATATTTTCAAAGTCAAACAACACATGGTCTTTCAACTGATATTAACTCAAACAACCAGTATTCATATTTTCAAAGAAAATATCCCAAATCCTTCAACTACATGTAGTAGAAGTAATAACTTATAATCATATATAAAGGCAGACAGCACATGGTATTTCAACTAGCATTATGCAAGTAATTAGTATTCATGTATTCAAAGTCAAACAAAATATGATCTTTCAACCAACATTAATGCATGTAATTGTACAATTTTCCCATATATTCAAAGTCAAACATCACATGGTCTTTCAAGTCAACCAAGAAAACTATAAGTATACTCACTGGTGTTTGTCTGTGCATACCCGGGGGGTGGGGCGCCGTACGCGGGGGGTGGGGCGCCGTACCCGGGTTGGGGAGCGCCGTACCCGGGTTGGGGAGCGCCGTACCCCGGTTGAGCAGGAGCGTACCCAGGTTGAGCGGGGCCGTACCCAGCCGTGGGGTGGGCGGGGTCCGAATATCCGGGAAGTGGCCCTTGAGCAGATTTGGTCTCCATTCTTGCTTAAAGTGTTGGCAACTGAAAACAAGGATGATACTTGATATGGACCCTTATGGACTTAATACCGGATAGTTTCCGTCATTGTGTGATATGCACGAGCTCCTACCTAAGTAACGCTTGTTAAGTTAATCAGACGCCATGTTTTGCCCCTCGATAAAATAATAGGGGGTGGTGACCCAAGCGTCTGAGGCGCTGCAATTCGCGTTGCAACGTCTGAGACCTGCATCACTTCGGGCTTTCCGTCCGCAAATGGAATACTCTCAAAAAGGACCTTAAAACCAACTTACTCTCTGTAACCTAATATTTAAGACAACCTTTGTAAGTATATATTCATTGTAAACCAAAAAGAGTACACATTACCAGGAACCTCTTTCTAGACCGGATACAGAAACAGTCCTATAATTTCCAAACGTTCGATATCTCGCGTATATTATTAAAGGAGTATTGATTCCACTGATGGTCTATTTAAGTAGAATGTACACTTGCATGGGAGTATACACGTGATGTAAATATACATGCATATTTCCCATTGTGGTGGTTGCAAGGTAACCATTCAGACGATCTTTGTTTATTCATGGCGTCAACAAGACGGTGGCAGGGTGATGTGTGCCTTGTCTATACAAAGAACAATAGAAAGATAAAAAAACAGGTTTCTAAGGTAGATTTGCTTCTTTGATCTACGTTGTTGATTATATTTGAACACAGTAATACAACAGAGGCAACAAAACTGATGGGGGTCGTTAACTCGATGTCTGTCTTGTTCTTTTATACCGTTGAGGTACCGAATTTCCACATAAGCATCGGAATGCATCTTCCCGAGCAAAGAGTGTCACTAGCCAATATCAGCCTTGTTTTTTGTTTGTTGTTTAACGCCGCACTCGGCAATATTCCAGCTGAACTACGGCGGTCTGCAAATAATCGAGTCTCGACCTGACAATCCAATGATTGACATCATGAGCATCAATCCACGCAATTGGGATACGATGACATGCATCAACCAAGTCACCGAGCCCGACCATTCGATCCCGATAGTCGCCTCTTACGACAAACATGGGTTGCTGAAAATAAATTCTAACCCGTTTCTTCACGGGTCAAATTCTGGTGAAAACTAGACTTTCATACAGGCTTGTGGATACTCTTGCCTCTGGAAGATGCTTTGAATGATGCTTCTTGACTTATTTCCTTGCGTTTCAAAAGCGATGAAATTAAATATAAATAACATCACCTAAATAGAGCATTCGTGACCAACTCCTGTTATTCCGGGACAAGCCGATCTTCTTGCAGGTTACGGAAAGGAGCGAGTGGTGACGAATGCTAAATATAAATCTGTAGACCACGCATGTTGCCCCGACAACCGCGTGTTATTTACGTGACAGATAAAGTTGTACGTCATTCATTATTAAGGTTTAAAAATGTCTTTTCAAATCTACACTGTATCTGGGTCACCTGAGTGGTGTCATTAAGCAAGGTCTTAACGAAATACAATTCTACGTAGTTAAAGGGCTCTGTTGTGAGAACGGAAGCGGGAGCAGCTGACGACGGAGATGAAGATAACGAAGCATACCGCCTTTTCATGGCGAGAAGTCTATGTGGTTACTTTGACATAATACCCTTGAAGATCAGGGCTAGAATAGGTCTTCAGCAACCCATGCTTGTCTAATGAGACGACCATGCTTGTCGTAAGAGGAGTGAGTGAGTGAGTTTGATTTTAAGCCGCTTTTAGCATTATTCCAGCAATATCACGGCGGGGGACACCAGAAATGGGCTTCACACATTGTACCCATGTCGGGAATCGAACCTGGGTCTTCGGCGTGACGAGCGAACGCTTTAACCACTAGGCTACCCGACCGCCCTGTCGTAAGAGGAGACTAACGGGATCGGGTGGTCAGGCTTGCTGACTTGGTTGATGCATTTGATCGTATCCAATTGCGTAGATCGATGCTCATGATGTGAATAACTGGATTGTCTGGTCCTGACTCGATTATTTACAGACAGCCGTCATATGTATGGAATATTGCTGAGTGCGGCGTTAAACAAAACAAACAAACAAACAAAACCTTGACCGAATTTAACTTGTTTAGCCTAGAAGGATGTGCATCTTAGGGTTGAGTGCATTGTGTGCGTGTGTGAGTGTCACCAAAATTCACATAACAGATAATATTGCCAGATATAATTGAAGTCTGGGCTAGGTGGTCCAGTGGCAGTTAGTACGCTGATTAAAAAAAAGGCGACTATGCTTGTCGTAAGAGGCGACTAACGAGATCGGGTGGTCAGGCTCGCTGACTTGGTTGATGCATGTCATGGATCCGAATTGCGTGGATTGATGCTCATGATATCAATCACTAGATTGTCTGGTCCAGACTCGATTATTTACAGACCGCCGCCATTGAGCTGGAATATTGCTGAGTGCGGCGTTAAACAGCAACAAACAAACTAAACTGTTTAAAAACGGAACTGTCACATGTCTCTTCGGCCGAATTAAAATAGACACTGCCTTTTTTTCAAGTGCATGATGATCTTATATTTCAGTAAGAACAGGAATGCGTCCACTTAATGTCAAAGATACTGAGAGAGTTTATACAACTGAATAAGGCGACACTTAAGATCACGTTGTAATGCTCAACCAGCGTATCCTACTTAAGCCAGGGGAGACAACTCCATAGGTAAAGGATTTCGAATACGACTGGTCTTTCATATTTGATAAGCGCCTCTGGAGTCTTCCACAAGATAATGTAGGACGAACGCTGTTAAATAAATAATCGGTATCATTCTTTGGTTTCTGATAGGAAAAGGTTACTGTGTTTCGAATAGAATTTAGAGAACAAATCTACAAGTGTACCAGGAGCGCGTATCGAGGGTATTTTACTAAAATCAAAATCACAAATAATATTTTTTAAGTTTTTAGAAAGGAAGCGACGGTTACGTTGAACAGCTTCGTTATCAGATTGCTTTGCCCTATTAGATTTACACAACGGGAAGTTATTAAAGATATATCAACTCGTTGCCGACAATCAATACTTGATTACTGCCTTCTGTAGAGATGCCACACCGTATGTTTACAGGAGCAGGTATCGGGGTCACACCACCTTGTCGGCTATTCCCGGACTGTGAACGCCGGGCAGTGAATGCATGTCTGGACCTTTCAATCTATAATCAAGTTAACCTTTATCTACATTTGTCTCACTACATCGGTATCTATCCCCAACCTATCCTACCCTACCATAGTCAATATTGTCAATCAATATCGCACGGCAACCAAGACATATAGATAGATTGTCGTCATGTGAACCACATGACGAAGAGCTGCGTTTGGGCGAAGTCGACAGGGGACGATGTTCATGAATTTATTCTAATTTTAGAACTCAGTTTGCAGAATAGCGTGACTTGCAAACCTTAATTGTTGAACTAATAATTATTTGATTAAGTGAACTGGGTTTAACGTCACTTTGAACAGTGTTATATCACTGCGCGTTATTGGGAGGAATACTGCGGTGATGTAGGTCTAAGACGTCCACTATTTTGGTGAAAAACATTAGCATCGGAATGGAGCAGTAAAAATAATCAACGCGAATATGAGATTCGAACCCAAGATAGAACATTCCCCACCATGCCCCAAAACGATGCATAATAGCGGGTATCATTTCGAGAATAGTAGAACGTGCCTTTTTCTAAATATCCGCTTACAGCGCCAAAACGCAACCGATGAAAAACAGAACGCGTGTCCGCAATCAGTGTTTACTCTTGACCATATCTAAGAAAACTACAGCCACCGAGTCAACTGTTGATTTTAGCATAAAAATAATTTGTGTTCCATGCCAAGTATGAATTCAGATAAACATAGATTACAAGAAATGAGTGAGTTCGGAGCTCTACTTTTAACACTATCTCGGTCACTGGTATGTGAAAGGAAAATACCTAAATACAAGTTCCACAAAAGCAACCGTAGCGCTTAGATGATCGTAACTATACAAGACTTTTAAACAAGACAAATCACAGTCGTCACTCTACGATCACTCCGAGGAGCGTCTCCCTGGGCCCCGTTTAACAAAGGGACCGTAGCACTGCGACAATCGTTATAATTTACTCCCATACTTATGACAATCATAGCGCCAACATCACTTTGTGAAACGGTGCCCCTGTGGTCAACAGTTGCCAGTTTGGTGAAATTTACCATATGGTTTTGTTTGTTTGTTTGTTTCTTGTTTAACGCCATTTCCAGCTACAGTAAAGTACGGTTATAACGAACTCAAAGGCACTACTAATTTTAGTTCGTTATAACCGTAGTTCGTTATAAGCATATATACAGCATAACTACAGCAAATAGTCGGGACCAAAAAAGTAAGTTCGTTATATCCGTAAGTTCGTTATAAGCGTGTTCGTTATAACCGTAGTTTACTGTATATGACAGCGGTCTGTAAATTATCGAGTCTGGTCCGGACAATTGACAATGGGATTCGATGACATGCATCAACCAAGTCGGCCAGCCTGACCACCCGATCCCGTTAATCGCCTCTCATTACAAGCATAGTCGCCTCTTCCGGCAAACACGGGTAGCTGAAGACATAATCTTTAGCCGGATCTTTACGGGTCCATAATCAGACAAAATGTATGAATCGGATCCATAACGCAGCGAAGGGATGCAACTCTGCACATTCCTTAGGGCTCCGATCCATGATTATTACGTGCGTCTCCCATCGTCATGTGTCCGATATCAAATGTCCGACATCAAGTGAGTGAGTGGGTGAGGTTAAGATAACTCCGTTTTGAGCCAGTATTTCAGTTATATCAGGGCGTGACAGCGCATTGTGGAAGCTTGCGGTGAGGGTAGCCTGGTGGTTAAAGCGTTCGCTCGTCACGCCGAAGACGCGGGTTCTATTCCTCTCATGGGTAGCCTATTTCTGGTGTCCCTCCGGCGTATCATAGCAGGTATATTGCTAAAGGCGGCTCACCATACCCACTCACTCACTCAAGAAAGGCCGAAGTAGTGCAGGTTTATACGTGAGACCCAGGAGCGCGGC